TGGGAATGACTCACTGGAGGATTCTGGGGCTGCTGACTCCAGCTTGGGAGGAGGAGACCTGACTTCAGATGCTAGGTTTCTCTTATTCCCCAGGGCACTGTCCTCTCTGCTTTAATAAGAGCTACCACCTGGTTGCAAGCAGAGGACAGCTGTGCTGTGTTTAGTTTACAAATTGGGGATGTGAGGTGAAAGTATTTCCTTTTGGTCAAGTGGATGGTAGTATCAAGCAAACTAAAAAAATTCAAATGTTTTATAGTTAGGGACCAACTTGTCTTATTGAAGTGGAATAAAAATATTTCTGAGCAGGGGCCCCTGGCTGGGTCAGTTGGTAGAGCAACTCTTGATCTTGGGATTGTGAGTTCTTGCCCCACGTTGGGGGTAGAGTTTACTTAAAAAAAATATTTTCAAGCAAAATCACCTTATGTTCCCCACTGTCTTTCTGTACCTGTTACCACATGGCAGATAGTACCTGGGGACTACAGTGAAGCCTTACTGGGTCTTAATGTGTTTTTATATAATGGGTGGTACTTTTAGGCTGCCAATAACTAAGCAAAGTATAGGTGGACACGAGTGTGTTATAGTGTTGTATATGAGGTACCAGTGGGCCACAGCCAAGGGCAGATGATGACAGAAGTAATCTCTAGCACTACCCTGTATCCCAAGCCTCCAAAGACTGTGATGGCTGGTTTATTGATGCACCTGAATCTGGGTTCTCACCTTGGCACTAATGACATTCAATGCCAGATAGTCCTTTGTTGGGGGGTGGGTGTGGGCTGTCCTCTGCATTGTAGGTGTTTAGCAGCATCCTTGAGCTCTATCTACTGGATGCTAGTAGCACTCCCCCAGACCCTGTGACAACCAAAGATGTCCCCAGACATTGTTAAATGTCATTTGGGTCAGAATCAACCTCTTATTTTTTATTGTTGGGTATATTATTATTTTTAATTTAATGCTTTATATTTAAAAAATACAATTAATTAACATATAATATATTATTGGTTTCCGAAGTTGAGGTCAGTGTTTCATCAGCCTTATATAATACCAGTGCTGATTACATCACGTGCCCTCCTTAATGCCCATCTATTACCCAGTTACCCCAACCCCCCACCTCTCCCTGTCCAGTGACCCTCAGTTTGTTTCCTATGATTAAGAGTCTCTTATGGTTTGTCTTCCTCCCTGATTTTATTTTGTTTTATTTTTTTCCTCTCTTCCCATGAGATCGTATAACTATCTTTCTCTGATTGATTTATTTCATTTAGCATAATGCTCTCCAGTTCCATCCACTTCATTGCAAATGTCAAGATTTCATTTTTTGATGGCTGAGTAGTGTTCCATTTGTGTGTGTGTGTGTGTGTGTGTGTGTGTGTACACATACACCACATCTTTATCCATTCATCTCACTGACCTAAATTTAAAGAATGTTTTGGCACAAACATTAATGAGGATGTCATCTTGGCTATCACACTCTTATGTCATGACCCAGGCATTATCTTGTAGCTACTGCTTCTCTTCTGCCAAGTTGTTATTGTGTGCCATTTTTTAGACAAGTTTTTTTTTAAGGCAATATAGTAATCATAATCACAATAATAGCCAAATGTATAGGGTATCCATGAAGTGGCTTCAAGAATGCCTTAGCAAGACTCTTACCCTGACAGTGCTAGAATCCTGAAGTAGAGACAACTCTAAAGGCTAGAACACATAATTGTTACTGTCAGTTGTGGGGAGAGGAGAGGAATAAAGGACAAAGAGCATATATAAAGGGGTACAATGAGAAGATGTTTGCCACTTGACTGAGTAGTGTAGACATAACCTATTCTGGCACAAATATATGTACAGGAAGTTCTGAATTTTATTTTATTAGGTAAACTCTATCCTCAGTGTGGGTCTCAAACTCACGACACTGAGATCAAGAGTCACATACTTATAGACAGGTTTTTATTTTTTTAATTTAATTTTTTTATTATTTATTTATTTATTTATTTATTTATTTATTTATTTATTTATTTATTTATTTATTTTTACTTATGATAGTCACAGAGAGAGAGAGAGAGAGGCAGAGACACAGGCAGAGGGAGAAGCAGGCTCCATGCACCGGGAGCCCGATGTGGGATTTGATCCTGGGTCTCCAGGATCGCGCCCCGGGCCAAAGACAAGCGCCAAACCGCTGCGCCACTCAGGGATCCCAATTTTTTTATTTTAAAAAAGATTTTATTTATTTGTTTGACAGAGAACTGGAGAGCACAAACAGGGGGAGGGTTAGAGGGAGAAGGAGAAGTGGGCTCCCTAATTTGGGGCTTGATCCCAGGATTCTGGGATCATGACCTGAGCCAAAGGCACTCAACTGACTGAGTCACCCAGACACCCCAGTAGATAAGTTTTTTAAAAATCTAAATTGTGTGTTTACAGAAGGAAGGAATAGAATCAGACTGTACCTTTCTTTCTTTTTTTTTTTAAAGAATTTTTTTTAATTTTTATTTATTTATGATAGTCACACACACAGAGAGAGAGAGGCAGAGACAGAGACAGAGGGAGAAGCAGGCTCCATGCACCGGGAGCCCGACGTGGGATTCGATCCCGGGACTCTAGGATCGCGCCCTGGGCCAAAGGCAGGCGCTAAACCACTGCGCCACCCAGGGATCCCTCTTTTTTTTTTTTTTTTTAAGATTTTATTTATTTATTCATGAGAGACACAGAGAGGCAGAGGACAGAAGCAGAGGGAGAAGCAGGCTCCCGTGGGGAGCCAGATGTGGGATTTAATCCTGGGACCATGGGATCACACCCTGAGCCAAAGGCAGCCGCTCAACCACTGAGCCACACAGGTGTCCCCCTCCTCTACTTTTTCACTTGTTTTTTTTTAATCATGGCCTTCTCTAGCTGATGATGCATATAATATGCAAACTCTGAACTCCAAGAATCATGGATCTTAGTCCTTTGGTTGGTACCACACCTTGGTTTGAATGCCTAAGGTTAAACTTTTTATTTTAGGCAATTGTAGATTTACATGCAGTTGTAAGAAATAATGCAGAGAGATCCCATTTATCCATTACCCAATTTATTTAAACGGTACTATTTTGTAAAAGTATAGTACAGTATCACAACCAGTACATTAATATATTGAAACAGTCAAGATACAGAACCTTCCCATCAATCCCAGCATCCCTCATGTCTTAGCTGTTTAGGCTGCTATAACAAAATACCATAAACTGGATGGCTCAAGCACTATAGAAATGTATTTTTCGGTCTGGATGCTGAAAGTCCAAGATCAGAGTGCCATCATCGTTGCCTTCTGGTGAGGGTCCTTCTCCTGGTTCATAGCTGATACCTTCTCAAAACTTACTCATGGTGGAAGGAGCAAGGGATCCTTCTGGAGCTTCCTTTATATGGCAGTAATGCTATTCATGAGGGTTTCACTCCCATGACCCAAGAACTTCCTGCAGGTCCTACCTCCTAATATCGTCATCTTCGGGGGTTTGTATTCGACATGAATTCTAGAGGGTGCACAAACATTCAAAGTATAGCACTTCACTTTGCCTTTCTATAGCCACAGCTGCCTGCTTCCCTAGCTCATACACCCTACTCCTCCAGCCTTAACTCTTAGCAACCACTAATTTTTTTCCATATCTATAATTTTGTCATTTAATGAATGTTCTATAAATGGAGTCATATAGTTTACAATCTTTTGGGATTGGCTTTTTCACTCAGCATAACTCTGGAGATACATCGAAATTGTTGTGTGAACTGATAATTTATTCCTTTTTGTTTCTGAGTGTTGTTTCATGATACGGATATAGCAAAGTTTAACCATTCGCCTGTTAAAGAACGTCTGACTTGTTTCTAATTTTGGACTGTTATTAATAAACCTGCTGTGAACATTCCTGTACAAGTTTTGTATGAAGATCAATGCTCAATTGTCTGGGATAAATGCCCAGGATTACAGTTGCTGGGTTGTTAAGATAGTTGCAGGGTTAATCTTTTAAGAAACTGCTGAACTATGTTCCAGAGTCACTGTACCATTTTACATTCCCACTGGCAGTGTATGTGTGATCCAGTTTCTCTGTATGCTAGCTAGCATTTGGTTTTTTGTTTGTTTGTTTGTTTTAGTCATTGTGGTAGGTATGTGATAATATCTCTTTGTGGTCTTCCTGTGCATTTGCTTGATGACCAGTAATATTGAGCATCTTTTCTTATGCTTATTGCCATCTTCATACCCTCTTGAAAAGAATGTGTATTCTTATGGTTTTGGATGAAGTGTCCAAAAATGCTCATTAGTCTGTTGGCTGATGGATGAAGTGTCCAAAAATACTCATTAAATCTGTTGGCTGATGCATTGTTGTAGTATTGTTGGGTTCTTCTGTGTCCTTCCTGGTTTTCTAATTGTTCTATCAATCTCTGAGAGAGTGGAAGCTTCCAGCTGTAATCATGGGTTCCCCAGTTTCTTCGTTCAGTTCCATCAGTTTTTGCTTCCCATATTTTATAGCTCTGGTGTTTGGTACATACACATTTAAGATTGCTATGTCTTGCTGGTAGAGTACTGTTTTATCTTGATGCACTATCTTTCTATCTCTAGTAATTTTCTTTGCTCTGAAGTCTACTTTATCTGCTATTTTCACTTAATTTTGATTCGCTGATTTGTGTGTCTTTTTTTTTTTTTAAGATTTTATTTATTCATGAGATGCCTGGTTGGCTCAGTGGTTGGGCATCTGCCTTTGGCTCAGGGTGTGATCCTGGAATCCCTGGATCAAGTCCCACATCGGGCTCCCTGCATGGAGCCTACTTCTCCCTCTGCCTCTCTCTGTGTGTGTCTCTCGTGAACACACACAGAGAAAGGCAGAGACACAGGCAGAGGGAGAAGCAGGCTCCCTCTGGGGAGCCGATGCAGAACTTGATCCCAGGACCCCGAGATCATGCCAAGCCAAAGGCAGATGCTCAACCACTGAACCACCCAGGTGCCCCCGATGTGGGTGTCTTTTAACTGAGGTTCTCTCTTTCCTCTTTTTTAGGAGTATATAATTCGGGTGCAAAGAGGAATTTCTGTAGAAAACAGCTGGCAGGTAAGCTTTTTTTTTTTCGTCACTAGAAAAATGTTTAAGCATTTAAACAAAAGACTGACTTGGGGCATCCAAATTTGTGGAAAAACCAAAACACGCATAAATATGAATCCTTTTACTTTTAGGTATAAACCTTTAGCATAAATAAATAAATAAATAAACAAACAAACAAACAAACCTTCAGCTTTACAATGTCTATTACCAGAGATTTTTCTGCTCCCATTTATCTGGTTTAATTTGTGTATGATGTTGCCATAGAGAGTTTTGAGGAATGTATTCTCTAGTTTGACCCAGACTAGGATAGATAGATAGTAGGCAGGTTAATTGTTTTGTTCTTAGTAATTCATACTTCCTCCCCTGCAGCCATGGTGTAGGTAGGGGTGGTTAGAGTTAAGTCCATCAGGTAGAAAGGCGAGATGGTACCCTGGACATCGTACAGCTTGGATGCTCTGCATTTCATGGACTCCTCAGTCCACTCATGGGCAAATGCTAATAGTGCTAGTCTCCCCCATGACTGTAGGTGAGGGTCACCTTACAGGCTTAGAGGGGGCCTCAGAGAGAAAAAACTTCCTACTCAGATCCAGAGGTCCTAACTATGTTAGTTGACTTGCAGAGGGTAGCTGACTTCTCTACAGGGGCCATTTCTTTCTTGCCTCTGTAATTATAATCACCTTCCCTTGGTCTTTGCCTGAAATTTCAAACAGCTTTTTGTTTGAATAGTTACACTATTTAATATCTAGTGAGCATTTGTTGTTAGGTACTGGTTCAGGCACATTTAAAAACCATTCTACATGATTATACCTCCTCATTTTACATTCAAGGGGTAAGTAAGTAGGCCATGGTCACACTCCAGTCAGTGACAGACCAGAGTTGGAGTTTGTATATTCTCTATGATTAACCGCTGTGCTGCCTTTTCTCTTTTGCACTTATGAGGGATGGACTTATTTAACTCTTTGATGTGTAGTTGGCAAGCAGGGCAACAGCCATTGTCCTACCAGAAAAATCAATCCTTGGTGTAGTCTTCCAGATATAATGCATTAGGATCCCCGGGATATTTAACAAAAATGTAGACTCTTAGGCCCCACTGTGGACCTACTGGTAGGAGATTCTCTGAGGGCAGAGTCTGAGATGATTGGTGGGCAATTCTACTCACTAACATTTGAGATTCATCAATAAAGGTTGAAGTCAAACCATTCAAAAGCAAAATAATTTCCTTGCCCAGAGCCTGAAGAGCTAGTGGAATTTGACTCTGGCCTAATCAGTGGCATCAACATAACTCAGAAAGAATGTATAGACAATGGAAAGTGGACTGTCTGCCAAGAGGGAAAACACGGGAATCCAGGAGAGGTATGGCCTCTCTGCCTGCAGTTACAGTCCTGTCTCTTGAATGGTGGGCTCTCAACTGGGAAAAGTTTTATCCAGGGCAAGGATCAAATGGCTTCACAGCTGTCCACTTCCTTTTAATTTGATTTCATGTTCAGTAAAACTTTTTGGAGGTAAATCATTAATTCATCTTTCCAGGTGCCTGGTTAATGAGAAAGGTATTTAAAGGGCTATTCACCCTGAAAACAAATATATCATCTTTCTCTCTTACCTGTTGGTATCTTATGTGTTTGGCTGGCATTAACCAGTTTCCCATGGCTCAGCGAACTCTGGGCACTGCTAGGTTTGTTTTCTGGGTCTGTCCAGTTAAGCAAGTTAAGCACCAGGTATAAACCCCACTATCCTTAGTACAAGTACTTCAGCCCTAGAATGCCAAGAAGTATTAAATAAGGAAATGAAAAGAGATGGTCTTTGCCGAATGAAAACACCACTCTCTTGTCTTACAGATTGTTAGGAGATACAGTGACTTTGATTTGTTGAACAACAGCTTGCAGGTAAATATTTGAAAATACCAGTGACACACAGTCATGGCTTGGGTGTCTCAGAAACGGGTTGGAAATGGCAGTATCAAGGCAAAATATTAGCAAATTTCCCTGGCGGAGGAGATAGACTTATACTTTAAATAGATAATGCATGGCTCTAAGAGTAAACTTTTGAGAACAAACACGTAATTTATAATAGTCACCTTGCAAGTGAGTACCTTTGTGCGAGACTGCATCCTTACAATGGGCATGGGATGCTGTGTATCATCTCCTTGCACAGAGGAATGACCAGCTGGATTGTTGGAGTCATTCACTTAGAGCTGGGACTATCTCAGACTCTCATATGCAGCATTGCAGATCAGTACTCAGCAGTAACTAGAGACAGCCTTTTTCAGTGTAACCTTTTTTCTCTTAAATACATCTAAATCCCTTTGATTTAAATGTTCCTAACTTGGTGGCCATAAAGGAAAGAGGAATGAGCTATAGAGTCTTTTTCTGGAAACAGCTGTGATGGTAATGAGTGAAGGGTCCTAGAGGGGCTTTACCACCACAGTAAGTATTGGCAATAGCACCCACATCTCCATTCCACACGTCAGTCTTCAAGTGCCATGGGTAACTGCAGACCACCAGGCTTGGGTCATATCTCAGATTTTTTTTTAAAGATTTTATTTATTTATTCATGACAGACACAGAGAAAGTGAGCATATCTCAGATTTGATTGGTAACATAAAACCTGAGCCAGAGCACTTGGCTTATGACCAGTTCAGCCAGGAGGTGAAGCACTGCTCCCTCTTCATTGGTGAGCTATCTTCTCCTCCTCCTCCTCCTCCTCTTCTTCTTCTTCTTTTCTTCTTTCTTCTTTCTTCTTCTTTCTTTTTTTAAAGATTTTATTTATTTATTCATGAGAGACACAGTGAGAGAGAGAGGCAGAGACACAGGCAGAGGGAGAAGCAGGCTCCATGCAGGGAGCCTGATGTGGGACATGATCCTGGGACTCCAGGATCAGGCCCTGGGCTGAAGGCAGCGCTAAACCGCTGAGCCACCCCGTCTGCCCTAGCTGTCACTTCTTACTTACTCTGAGTGACCTCTGATCCTGTCCACAGAAGTCAGAAGGACTGCTGACTGGGAGGGAGCAAAATGCTTCTTTCCTTCAAAGGGCCATGGTTAGGGATCCCTGGGTGGCGCAGCGGTTTAGCGCCTGCCTTTGGCCCAGGGCGCGATCCTGGAGACCCGGGATCGAATCCCACGTCGGGCTCCCGGGGCATGGAGCCTGCTTCTCCCTCTGCCTGTGTTTCTGTCTCTCTCTCTCTCTCTCTCTCTCTCTCTCTCTCCCTCTCCGTGTGTGTGTGTGTGTGTGTGTGTGTGACTATCATAAATAAATAAAAAAAAATTAAAAAAAAAAAGGCCATGGTTATTGATCAGACTTTGGAAAATAGCATAGGTAGAATCCAAACTTTAACATTCTTTACAATCCTGCTAAAAACATGAATGCCTCACTTTCTCTCTAATAGAATTGGCCTGAGTGTCTGCAGATCTTTATGTAATTGACAGATAATCATGCATTTGATAAATACTGTTTTTTTAAATGTTAATTATAGTATGACAAATTTAAATTTCCAGGTAAAATACTGGCAGAGATCAAACTCTCTTCATTGATGGATTTAATTGGTTTTATTTTGGATTTTTACAGCATATTTTTTCCATTTAGACAGAAGCTGGGTCTGTGATGACATTGTAGATAAGACACCGATGTGTGGTTTACTCCAGCAGTGGATTTTCTCCACAGATCTCTCCAGATATTCTCATGCAGCATTTCCACAACGGTGTGAGCCTTTGGGAGTTAGCATTGAGCCTAGTATGTGTTTTCACCTTGATGCACAGGTGAACTTTTGCCCAGCAATCTTCATACAGTGTCATTCAGCCAGGACTGAGTAAGACTCATGGGAGGAAGATTTCTGAAATTGAAAATGTCTAGGCCCAGCCCCTAAGAACAGGTGGGGAATGGGGGAGTGGGGGAGAGGATTTTATCTGCTGTTTGTTCTTGCTTAGGGAATGAAAGTTTGGATTTCTGTGACTATTCATTTACGGCCTTTTTAATATAATAGGATTTTATTTTTGCTTCAGTGTAATTTTCCCTTTAAAAATAGGCACTTTCAGTGTGCATTTTATTTCAAATGCAAATATCCATGTGTATTGATGTTGGCATATGCTGGGCAGGATATGGCCAGACATCATTTCAGTGGGAGGTTTTTCTAAATCCAAGTAAACAAACAGAAGAAAGTACATACAGCTTTTTGGCAAGAAAATAATTTCAAAACAACCTCCATAAAACAGACCAAAAAGACTCTAAAAACCACAGAATAAAACTGTGACCATGATTTTTAGTGTCTGATTACCGTTCTGATGGATAAATGAGTTCCTGCTGAAAAAAGAGAAATATAATACACATATGCGAAGTTGTCTGACTCCAATAGGAAAGATGACAAAGTGAAAAAAAAAGCAGGATGTAAAATTATACATGCAATATAATATAATATAATTACATGAATTGTTTAGAAAAAAAGATTGGAGGGAAATATGCCAAACTGTTAACAATGGTGATCTCCAGGTGGCAGGATTATGGGTTATGTTTTTTTTTTCTGGTTCTTTATACTGTTTTGTACTTTCCAAGTTCTCTATAAACAAGCACATGTAAGCTATATAAACAAAGAAATAGGAAAAAATGGTGCATTTTCCCAAGTTACTATAGTGAGCATATTTTGTGGTAACAGTAAAGAAGAATCACTACCTTATTTTAAAGCTTTATTTTTTATTTAATTCAATTTGCCAAGATTGATTGATTGATTTATGAGAGAGAAAGAGAGAGAGTGTGTGAGCATGTGAGCAGGGAAGAGTAGGCTAGGTGGAGAGAGGGGGAGAAGCAGACTACCTGCCGATCTGGGAGCCTGATGCAGGGCTTGATCCCATGACCCTGAGATCGTGACCTGAGCTGAAACCAAGAGGCAGCTGCCCAACCGACTGAGCCACCCAGGTGTCCTGAATCCCTACTTTATTTTAAAGGCAACATCAAATTAGTAACCATGTAGGGAGACCACAAACAGCAAAAGAGCAGGAGCTAAAATGATGGGAACTGGGCTGGGAATGCTCAGGTTGGGAAGGATCCCAGACTCTGGCCCTTACAGCAGGGAGGCCTTGGGTCATTTATTTTCCCTCTCCATCCTCACTTTCCCCATCAAACAAGGGATTGAACCAGATGACTTCTCAGTTCTGTTATAGCATTGGATGCTTTGTGATTTGAATTTTATTGCCCACTGTTGACATAGGAGAGACTCTACTGTACATCGAGGGTATTGGGACAAATAAAGGGTCTGTTGAGAGCTCAGAACTCCCTAGAATACTTACTGAAATATAGTTGAAGGCAATTTGCAGACCACTGAGATCTGATAATGAAAATGAGAGATTAACAGATTTAGAGTTTGAAGATTCCTCCTCCAAACAGAAGCTAGTTTTCTTGAAGCTGCAGTATAGTTTGTTATGTAATTTGGAGGCTTCTACTAGCATGGGTCAGATTGTGGGCTCTAGACCTCACTTTGGCAATCATTTCCCCTTTGCTTTGTTACTCTGCAGGTGTTATGGATGGGTCTTTGGGGACTTCTCCATTGGCTTTCTCTTTCCTCATATACAGGGAACTCAAGAAGGGAATCCATAGGGCACATTAAAAAGGAAAGCTATTGAAAATGGGATGGCGAGGTGTCATGGCTTGAAGCCATCAATGTGGAGGTGTTTGGAAATCATTGGCATGGTGACTTGATTGCTCTCTGGGCTAGTATTCTCTTCCCTCCCTTCTAATGAGTCATTGGACTTCTAAATTTTATATTCTGTAATTGTCAAACATTTTAGAATTTTTGAGAGAAAGCTGAAAGAGAAAGTGTCTCTTGAATGCTAATCTTTTTTTAAAAGGCAAGATTTTAAAATAACACACACATTATATACTTCTAATACTTGTGGAAATATTTATTGTGAGATCTTAAGGCAGAGCAGGAAAAAACCTCTAATCTGTCTAGCAGACTGGCATAGCAGGGGCACTCTAATTGCAGCTGTTGGCAAAGAACACTTGGTTTCACCTGATGATTTGGAAGAGCTGATGGGATGTCTGGGCAGATCAAAGTATTTTCCTAAAGTGAAATGAAGCTTGAACAAATAGATTGATGGAAGCTTGGAGGCCACAAAGTTCAGAATGAATACCTTATTAGTCTCATTTTCATATCCCTACCATGAATGAAAAATAGTTCTCTTGGGGTTTGAATCTGATGATGTCCTGTACAACTCTCCATTCTGAGTCATGTGGGATTCAGCTGGGTCTCCTGTTGGGTAGTGCAGGCAAATGGGCTGATACTGGTTCATGGCAATTATATATATATATAATTAAATGTGTATATATATATGTATATATGTATATATTTTATATATACATGTATATAGTTCTTATTTTTTATTTTATTTATTTTAGAGAGACAGAGCATTAGGGGGAGGGACAGAGGGAGAGGGAAAGAGAATCTCAAGCAGACTGCACTGAGCACAGAGCCAGATGCGGAGCTCAATCTCAACCTTAAGATCACAACCTGAGCTCCAAGAGTTGGACACTTTTTTAAAAAAGATTTTATTTATTTATTTATTTATTTATTTATTTATTTATTTATTTATTTATTTGAGAGAGAGAGAGAGAGCGCGCGCGCAAGCACATAAGTGGGGAAGGAGGGGCAGAGGGAAAGGGATAAGCAGACTCATTGTTGAGCGCAGAGCCTGGTGTGAGGCTGGATCCCAGGACTCTGAGAGTATGACCTGAGCTGAAGTCAGACACTTAACTGACTGAACCACCCAGGCACCCCAAGTTCATGGTAATTTTTAAGACTCCGTGCTGTATATATGTTCAGTTTCATAAGCAAGAGTTGTTTTTTTTAATTGAAAAAAGTAGTAAATGAGAAATGTAAACATTTCATAGTATAGAAAAAATTTGTTGGCTAACACACTCCCAGTGTTAGCTGTTCTCGAGGAGGTAGTTTGAGTCCTTTTAGACTTTTTTTGAGAACATATAATCATATCCCATGGGCTTAAACACACACACACACACATAAATGATATTATATTCTGCAACTTAATAGAAGAATTTTAAAAAGAAATACCAGTTGTGTTTTTAGTAGTACCTTTGATTATTCTATATTACTCAATGCTCTGGAACAAAATAATAATAATAATAAAGTGATTCACTTGGATGTGTACTAGCCTAGTGATCTGCTTTCTTCTTAAGTATGCTTTTTATTTAGTCAATAAAGAAGCTGCTATCCAATTGTATGAATGAGGAAAATGACCTGAAATTTATATGTCTTATCTGGCAGTGAATTATACCATGATAGAAAATTCATTCTAAGTATGCTCTGATACTTTTTCATAATTATGTTGGAGAAATAGGCAATTTAGGATTGTCAGCCAACCTTTTCATCTTGTCCAATATTGAGTTCAAGGTCTTCACTGTTGTTTGAAAAATACAGAATGAAACAGGCTAAGTTAGGTTTGCCCACATGGGTAGCTTAGATTACATTCTTTTCTGAATTCAAGATGCCTTTCTCTTTAGACCTTCCCCTCAATCAATATGCATGTCACTTGGACTGCTCTAATCCAAGCACACGTGTAGAATACAACTGCTCTTTGGAAGTGATTTTTCTCATTAAGATATGAATCTGATGCTTGGTTTTTAAATTTTAAAAATAGACTCATAAATTTGTAAGTGATCTAGAAAATGATTGAGCACCTGCATTTACTTTTCCTTCCACTTGAAGCCACTCTAAAACAACAGTAAGTTGATACCCACACGCGCACGCACACACACACACGCACCCTCAAGGACAAGTAGAATAGGAAAGGATAAAATCACAACAAAACCTTTGAAGCTGAAAATCCAGTGGATGAGAGTTAACCTGTTAGGCAGAATTCTGACCTGGGAGGGGGAAAGGATAACCCCATTGGGTCCCAATTTACAACACAGAATCTCCAAAAGGTTTAGCACAGGTGCTGCCCCCCATATGGGGCAAGGCCAAGCTGAAATCAGGAGTTGAGAGTATGTTGAAGAAGTGGTCACGTCCCCAGGTCTTCACCCATCTAGCAAGTTAGTCCTGTACTTCTCCCTCCTGCAGAGAATTGGAAGTTTATTCTCCAGAGAGGGTAGAACAGTCTTTGGATTGAGGAATGCAGGCACAGTTGAAAATAATTACATGATACATCTGTTATGTATTATGTAATACATAACCCCCGACTTTGCTCCCTTCTGCAAACCTCCTTCCTTTTAACTCCCAGAATATTGGTAGTAGTACCTAGACCCTCCAGGCAGGAGACTGGAAGATGGGGGGAGAGGGATCTGAGGAAAGAGCCGAAGACACTGAGGTCACAGGTTTTCCCAAGGAACTAGCTGAGTGTGGTCCTGTGCTAAAATAAAAGCCACAACAGATAAGCCCTAACCACTCATTGAGTGCCCCTCAGCCAGCTTTTGTTGTCCGCTCTTCAATATGAGCAGACAGCCCAGGATCACCAGATTTCTAAGGAGTACTTTTAACATGAGAGATAACAATGAAAACAAACAGGAAAAAAAAAAAAAAGAACCTTCAGGAAACAATATATACAGGAAGGGGAACATTTCAGACACTTTAGAAAAATTATCTTTCATAATCTCAGATAAATTGCATTACATTCTGGATGCTTTTGAAGAAAAGAAAAGTACTCAGAAATAAAAAGAAGTTACACCTGGGTGGCTCCGTGATTTAGCATCTGCCTTTGGCTCAGGGTGTGATCCTGGGGTCCTGGGATCAAGTCCTGCATCAGGCTCCCTGTCAGGAGCCTGCTTCTCCCTCTACCTATGTCTGCCTGTCTCTCTGTGTCTCTCATGAATAAATAAATAAAATCTTAAAAAAAAAGATATTAGTGGAAATGAAAACTCTTTAGAAGAGCTGAAAGATAAAGGAAATATCCCAGAAAAATTTTTCAGTAGGAAAAAAAATTGTTTAACAAAGGTGGAAACTAAGAGAGAAAAGAGAAGAGAGAAAATGGAGGACCATTCCAGAAGGCCGACACTGGAGTAAGAGTTCTAGAAAAAGAAAGCAAAGGGCATTTCTCATATAAGAAAGCACCAAAGAACATAAGGATATTGGTTTCCAGATAGAAAGGGCTGAATACTCAGCACAGGTGAAAATAGACCTGCAGAAAGGCATACGGAATTCACAAACAGGTCAAGAAGACCCAAAAGCTTCCGGGGGCAGGGGGGAGGCAAAAACCACAAAACAAAAACGGAAGCAAGAATCTACTGCCAACAGCAGCACTGGAAGCTAGAAGACAATAAAGCAGTTCTTAAAAATTCTGAAGAACAAATATTTCCAATTTAGAATTCCACATCAAGATTCTCTATCACTCAAGTGTGAGGGTAGAATAAAGACATTTACACATGCAACTTTTCAAAAATTGACCTCCTCGGCTCCCTTTTTAGAAAGCTGATGGAGGATAACCCCACCAAAAATCAGGGATTCTTCTACAAAAAAGGGAAGTATGGATATAGAAATGGGGTTCAGCAGAAGAGAAGCAAAAGCATTCCTAGGATGATGTCTCAGGATGCCACCTTCACAGCAGGCATAGGGACTACCAGTCCTGCTTGGAACAGATGCTTCTCAAGAGGATGCAATTGTTGCATCTTTGTACCTGAATATTTTGAGAAAATGCTTAGTGGAGAGTTTGGAGTTGAAGAGAAAGCTAAAACAAACAAGACCAGTAAATATAAAGGAATTGTGCATGGCTTTCTGGCTTAGTGGTTAGTATCACCTAATGTAAATGGGAATATTGCACTAAATAAAATTATAACTATATTGGTGGCATTAGGAATAGGTTGTGTGTGAGGTGAAATCAGGATTGTGGGTGGCTCAGCGGGTGAGTATGTCTGCCTTGGGTTCAAGGCGTGATCCTGGGATCCGGGATCAAGTTCCTGCGTAGAGCCTGCTTCTCCCTCTACCTATGTCTCTGCTTCTCTTTCTCTGTGTCTCTCATGAATAAATAAATAAAATCTTTTAAAAAGAAAGGATTGTGAAAGAGAACTTAATCCATAATGGGAAATTAATAGATAATACCTAAAAATGCAAATCAATTCAGCCCTCAGCCCAAAAGATTGGCTGAGAGAATTGGATGTGGCTGTCTCTGGGTAGCTGGGAATAGCTAGGTAATATGTTGGCAGGGTTGCTTGGGGAGGAGTGTCATGGGACTGCTAACCAAAAAAAGACCATTTGACTCTTGAAATTATTTTCACGTATAAGTTTGATAGAAAGAAAAACGTCTTTTTAAAACATTAAGTTTGAGGCACCTGGGTGGCTCAGTAGTTAAGCATCTTTTGGCCCAGGGCTTGATCCCAAGGTCCTGGGAGCCTGCTTCTCCCTCTATCTATGTCTCTGCCTTTCTTTATCTCTCATGAATAAATAAATAAAATCTTTAAAACAAAAAAAAAAATTAACTTTGAAAGTTGCTATGGTGAATATAGCATTTTATCAGTTCTGAGTTGCAGTTCTTCGCATTTTTTATCATAGCACTGAAATTAGGTTGCATCTTTATGAAACGTGGAGGCTCAGGTCTCATTTGAGGATGACATGAGTGTAATGCTTTTTCTCTTTGAATTAAAGATTGCGGGCCTCAGTCTACCTCTTCCCCCCAAAAAACTGATTGGTAACATGGATCGTGAATTCATAGCTGAGAGGCAGAAAGGTCTTCAGAACTATCTCAACGTCATCACCACAAATCATATCTTGTCTAATTGTGAGCTGGTGAAGAAGTTTTTAGATCCAAACAACTATTCTGCAAACTATACTGGTAAGCAAAGGGATCTCGGGATTATGGTTGTGTGACTAAAAAGGCATTGTTCCTTGCTGGAGACGACGTGCGGGAGAAACTATTTCCAAACAGGGACGTGTGTATGTTTGTTACAGGGCATTATTCACTTCCTCATACTTAACTTGATTGTAATATACTGGAAGAGTGTGAGAGGAAAATAATTGCTTCTAAAATGTTGGTGATATTTGCACAGAAGAATATGAAAGAGAAGTTACTGGGTCTAGGTACTTAGAGTCTTGTCTTTATTATCTTCTCTGACAGAACAGAAAGTAGATAATCCACAATAATTTATACCATAATCTGATTTGGATTTTTTTGGCTCTGTTTTGTATTTTCTGGGAATTACTTTGTACCAAGTGGTTAAAAAGGGTCTTTTTTGTGTCTTCCCAGTTGCTACCGGAGACCCACTCAGTGCAAAGCCTAAGGAAGTACTAGTTCTCTTCCAAACCTTTCCTGGATCAATCAGGGGATTGAGTTGGGAACAGTGCTGGTTACACACAAAGCTAGCATCAATAAACTAAGCCCGTTGTTAGAAGGATGAATGATTAAATATTCAGTATACGCTGGTGTGGCCTTGAAGAGACCACTGAAACTGTTGTAGAACTGAAGCAGTAATGAAGAACTGGACTGATTTGTTAAAGCTGAGCCACGCTTAGAGTCTTAGTGGAACTGTGGTATTTTTAATAAGCTGATTTCCTTGCTAAGAGAATAGATTGTTTACATGTTACATTTCAGGTCCTCAAAACACAGCTTTTGAAATAATTAGGGGGAGGCACTTCTATTCCTTTTTCAGAGAGAGGGAAATAAAAGATTGCTTGTCAGGTATCAAATTTTTCATGTAACAGACTCACCCAGAGAACTTTAAAAAATTCTGATGCTTAGGCTGCACTCATGCCAATTAAATCAAAATCTCTACTGGTGGGGCTCCTAGTTTTTAAAGCTCTCCAAGAGATTCCAATATGCAGCCAAGTTTGAAAACTACAGCCCTTGGGCCTTGGTATTCAGTGTGGTCCTCTGACCCACAGCATTGGCATCACTAGGAGTTTGTCAGAAGTGCTGAATTCAGGCCCCATCCCAAACCTAGGGATCAGGATCTGAGTTTGTTAACAAAGTCCCCAGGTGCTTGCTGAGAAGCCTTGCTGTAGAATGTACCTCCTGTCTTCTAGTGGAAGTACCTGCAGAGGTGAGAAGAATGCCTTTCTAAAATGCAACCAAGTGAAGGAAAGTTTAATTCAAACGCACAGTTACTCTAAGTGACAAAATTGATCACTAAGTTATTAAAAGGCTTTCATTCTTCACCCCATTGTTTTTTGGTTCATATAGGAGAAAAGGCATCACAAGACTGGGGCTCCCAGGACAGCTTAAATTCTTCCAGAGTAACATCTCTCATGGCTTTCAGTTACCATGCTTCACTTGATTGTTCCCCAGATTGTCAGATGGTGAGCCATCTGGATTGACTGTTACCAAATATGCCCTAATGTAGCCTCATTTGTTGGTTTGTCTGTTTATTTCCTGAGAGTGTCTGCTCATGTGTTCCTGAGGGCAAGCATCGAGGCATAGTGCACACATGATGACACCATTCTCTCTGTAGACCTTCACTCTCTGCTACACCTATGCCATGTGCTGGGTGCACACCTGGGTGTTGGGGGTGCAAGTGCCTGGAGGTTGTGCTCCCTGCTCTTAGAGAGCTTGAACTAGGAGGACACTGAATTACCTGGGGTCGGAGCTAGAAGAGATTTTAGAGCAGGTGTATCAAGGTTAACCCTTTCATTTTATAGATGAGAGCTAGCCTGAGAGTAAAGGCCTTGCCTAGGGTTGTACATTCGTATGACTGTACAAGTGTACAATATCTGAATGCTTTCCAATTAAAATGCTGCTTTGCCCCTGGAAGATTATCCAACCCTTATATTTCTTTCTACTGTACCCCCTCATTTGCTGCTATTCTTGATCTTTCTCCCCATCCCCACCCCCAACCACATGGCAGACAGTCAGGAGTCCAAAGCAGATGTGGGCAGATGTGTAAGAATGCTGCCAGAGACTCACTGAGCACAAATGCTCAAGAAGCTGCTACTATTTAGAGGACACAGTCCAGTAATGAAACAATGAAATCAGAGAGATGCTGATTTATTGCCCCATTGAATGAAATGTCAGAATTCTCTTGCCTTTGGGCTGACTCACTAGCAGCCTCAGGAAAGGGAAGCCCAGGCAGCCTCCTCTGCACCAGCTCCATCCCAGAAAGCCAGGAGGACCTGTCTGGGCTTCCCAAAAACTCATGGCCTGTGGTTCCTAAGGGCACTCTGCATACTTCCAACATGGGGCACTTCTTTAAGCAGGGCCACTTCCCCCTTTTATATGGATAATGTCTCCACCTCTTATATATATTTTTTTAAGATTTTATTTATTTATTCATGATAGTCACACAGAGAGAGAAAGAAAGAGAGAGAGGCAGAGACACAGGCAGAGGGAGAAGCCGGCTCCGTGCAGGGAGCCCAACGTGGGATTCGATCCCGGGTCTCCAGGATTGTGCCCTGGGCCAAAGGCAGGTGCTAAACCGTGGCGCCACCCAGGGATCCCTCCACCTCTTATCTTTTTCCAAGTGGTCTATGGTCACCACCCTACTCCATTTCAGGACTTGAGTTTTGTGTCATGTGGCTGATGTCACCAAGGCCACTTTTCCTGCTTCTTGCTCTGAGGTTGAAGATACCTAGTTGGAGGGGGACTGTGATGCCACCCCAGGTCCCAGGGGATGAGTGACTAGGCGCTTCAGGGTATCAATAGCTACTTCCACTCTCTCTGAGTCTCCAGCCTGAGATTTCTGATCTTTTCTTTCTTTTCCTGATGTTCTCCAGATGACCAAAGAAATAGAGGTCCTTGGTGCCCTGTGGAGGAGTTATGAGGTGTCCATTTGTATTACCAAGTTTAACTGAGGGCCAGCTTTTGTACAGGGAGAACAGGTGTCTCCCAGTCATAGGCACATACCCCACCCCCCTGCATACCTTACTTATTCATCTTATTAACAAGGTGCTTCTATCATTTATAAGCCTCAGTGCACTGTAGCCATCTTCCCATTGCAAACCTCAAACCCCCTCAGAATAAGGTGGTTTTTAGTGTCCATGCAGAAGTCACTTGGACCAGAGAGATAAGAAGGCTTGGATCCTGGTCCCAGCTTTGTCATCAGCAGCATTTCCCTTCTGCGAGCCTCGGTCCTGACCTGTCAAACAAGATCAGGGGGTGGTGAGTGGACAGGGAGTAGGTGGGCCCTCTTCTAGTCCTGAAACCCCGGAACCCTAAGAGTAGGTCGGGTAGTAGTGGGCTCCAGGATAGAGGAGGGAGGAGGGATGGGGTGGGGATTATACTCAGATCAAGGGCAGGGTGCTTTGGAGAGGTGGTAAAGCCAAGTCCGCTTTGCAGGCCTCTGCGTAGATGGGGATCTGGAGCCCAGTTGCTGGGCTGGAGGACTCTGTTCTCTGCAGTCACTGTGGGTCGGGGATCTAGGAACTCCAAGGCTACACATAGTGGATGCAGCTGGTACATTCTGAGGGGAGAAGTCAGAGCTCCATGGGAAGCACAGGATGGATCTGAAGGCATCGTTTTGCATTTCCTGCCTGGGGCTTGTTTATCAGCATTTCCTGAGTGTGTAGTTTCCCCCCATGTGTCAGCCAGTATTGGAAGAAATAGAGAGCAGATGCTTTTCTTTTTGTGGATTTCATGTTCTTATGGGAGAGAGTGTCCATATCCATTGAACATGTATTGAACTCGTAGTCCTTCCTTCATTAAATATTTATTGAGTGCCTGCTCTTTGTCAGGTGCTACAAATCCAGCATTAAGGGAAGCCTGGCCCTTACCCCCACACCAAGGCACTTCTGCAGAGAGTTTGACAGGTGAAGGCTGTGGCAGAGTAGCCATCTCCCGGCAACTTGGGGATGAGGGTAGGGGTGCAGATGCTCCAGATCTGAAGGCGGAGGAAGGCTTCCATAAGAGTTGGTGGCTATACGAAGATCTAAGGATAAGTAGAAAAGTTAGCCAGGCCAAGAGGCAAGGGCCAGTGCTCCAGGAGAGAAAAAAATATTTCCATGTGGCTGTGGGCTTTTACCCAGATTGGGACGTAGCCTTCCTTCACAGCCAGAGTTCACAGGCTTGTGGAAGAGAGTAGCCCTAACACAGGATAGATCGTGGGTGAATCCCATAGGAGAAGGACATGTAGCTCTGGGGAGGGTGGGGAGTTATGTTGGAAATATGGTAGTCACGTGATTTACTTGACAATAAATCCTGGTTCAGGAGAAAGAATATGTCCTTTTCTACAGTTTCCTGATTCTCTAAGGTTAAAAAAAAAAAAGGGCTACCTCCCAGTCCTCAAATTATCAGTAACAAATCCAGCATGTTCCATTTGTTGACAGCTGTTTCTCCCATTTCTAGAACAATGTATGATACATAGTAGCGTATGATAAATGTTGTTGAATAATGACTTTGTGGAGAATTATGAGTCACTGTTAGTTATGAATCAACTGTCCTTTACAGTCTCTTAGAATGACATTGTACTGCATTTAGAAAACTTTTTCATAATCCTTCTCAAAGTTGATATGATTTTCACAGAAAATACCTTTTTGAGTTGCTTCTGTTTGAGTTATTTTATGATTGTTTATATTCAAGTTGTTTTGGAAATGCTAAAAACATTTTATATCAACATTAATTACAAGGAAGGTACAGAGTTCCCAGCGTGGATTATGACGACTTTATATGCTTCTGCCACAGTGATCTCTCCAAATGGTTTGTCACTCTTGGGTCGTTAAAACAAATGTAAAGGGAGTCAGTTTTGTATATAGTCATCTCATGTTTTCTTCTGTGTGGACAACATCAACAATTTACATATTGAATCAGTAGACCAATAGCTAGTAGATCATTATCTTTCCTGAAACTCTTAACTCATAATGTACTGTAAAATGTAGCAAAATGATGTTGTTTGCCAAACGCTGGACATGGTAATTCCAGACTAGGTCATTCTGACATATAGAGAGCATTTCTGCCGAATCTCTCATTCTTCACGGTTGGCCTGGAATGCCATTCATGCTAGGCGGAGGTGAAATTCCACAGTGAATTTGCAGTATTGCTGTTTGCTTTCAGGGATCTAGAGCAGCTTCATTTTCTCATTGTGTTGAGGGAAAATAGCAAATTACAGATGTTGCTTTTTGCAGGAAATGTAAAAGCACAGTTATTCTGATAATTTCTTAATATAGTGAAGTTTAAAGGACTTCCTCTTCTCATTGTCTTCTTAAAAAGGGGAAATGTTCTTATGATAAACGAGCACAAAAAGAGGGATGGATTTTTTCCAGTAAACAGGGATATGGTATTGTCCCACAATAGAACTATGTTGTTGCTGTAACATAGATGTTTTTCTAAAACACTGGCTTTTATTTCCAATATATATTTAAGGCTAATCGCTTCTTTGTTGGTGAAAGCTATAATTCCATGAGGAATGAAGACAGGATAAATATCACTTGGAGCAACATAAATACCGTTCTGAGCTGACCTCAGAACATGTTTTGAGTTTTGTGCTTGGGTTGTGGCCTGGTGCATATATTGAATTCTTGGTTTATGCCACCTAGTTTACATATTTTAGATCTTTCAGTTTGAAAAATATGTATGCATTTTTCCCACATCATTAGTAATTATCTTCTTAATAAACTTTTTAATTTGGAATAATTTTTGACTTACAGAAAAACAGTAATGATAGTACAGAGAGTTTCCATATACCACCCCTCACGAAATTTCCCCTAATGTTAACATCTTACATATGTTAAGATGTTGATCAAACATGGCACATTGATCAAAACTAAAGAAATACACGTTGGTTCATTACTATTAACTACAGATTTTATTCAGATTTCACTTGTTTTTCCATTAATGTCCTTTTCCTGTTCCAGGGTCCAATCTAGAATCCTACATTGCATTTACTCTGTGGCCTTTTTCTTTTCTTTTCTTTTTTTTTTTTTTTTTTTGGTAATTTAAGTTTTTTAGAAGGTCATAGACTTAAAAGGATTTCATTTGCAAGATTGATATCTAAAGCATGTGGTACTTTCCTGACATGTTGGACTGATGAGTTTCTAAAATGTCTTTGCAGAGATTGCCTTACAGCAAGTTTCCATGTTCTTCCGATCAGAACCAAAGTGGGAGGTGGTGGAACCTTTGAAAGACATAGGTGAGAAACTGGCACATGCCAGGTCTATTAAAACAGATCACAGAACTGGATTCTTGTCATGCTTTCCTATCTGTATCCCCAGAAAGCTCTAAAATGCCAGTGATTTCTTTTTTCTCTTTGCCTTCCTGCTGCTTGAAGATGCAGTCCCTAACTTTTACACTTAATGAATCTTGGGTAAAGAGCCACCTGGAGATTAGGAGGGTGGTAATGTGTACTTTCAGAGCCATCCATCATTCTTTGTCTTTCTCACTAAAACTGAAGTTCTGTTTTCTTGTTCCTGTGAATAGTTTCTTTGCAGTTGTTTTTGGTATTGTTTGTGGAGTTTTTTGGTTTTTGGTTTTGTTTTGTTTTTCCTAAGTACACATCTTCCCCATGTCAACATTACCAAATGGTTAACAAGTGCCCATGTTGCTATGGATAATATTACCAAATTTAATTTTTTTAATTACTTAGTTGATGAAACATGTATCTATTGGCATAAAAATTATTTGCTATGAATACATCTCTGCTTTTATGGCAGGTTGGAGGATAAGGAAGAAATATTTCTTGATGAAGATTAAAAATCAGCCAAAAGAACGGCTCGTGTTAAGCTGGGTAAGCTGGTTTTTTGCTTCATTCTCCTTCCAGGGACTTTAGGTGGGTTTATGAAAGCAGATTTTGAAAAAAGAGAACTAAAATTGTACTATGCTTCTGAGTGATGTTGTAAAGGCCTCTTCAGTCCCACATCAAGGGAGAATCATTTTCAGTCACTTTGCATACTCATTTGGTTATATCGATGTGATAGTATTTGATCAACTAGTGAACATCTGGAAAGAACAAGAGTTCTGGAACTCCTTAGGATTGGCAATTTTGCAGTTTGTTTTAAAGAAGAAATACTTAGGCATTACTTTATATTATCTCTCACTTTGGGAGTTCTGGTGGTTCGGCTAATGGAATTTTATTTTTTTTAAGATTTTATTTATTTATTCATGAGAGATACAGAGAGAGAGAGAGAGAAAGAGAGAGAGAGAGGCGCAGAGGGAAGCAGGCTCCATGCAGGGAGCCTGACATGGGACTCGATCCCAGGTCTCCAGGATCACACCCTGGGCTGAAGGCAGTGCTAAACCGTTGAGCCACCAGGGCTGCCCTTGGCTAATGGAATTTGATAAAAGTGTAGTTTTTAGGTTTTGTTTTGTTTTGTTTTTTAAGGTAGTTAACATACAGTGCAATATTGGTTTCTGGAGTAGCATTCAGTGAGTCATCACTCACATGCAACACCCAATGCTCATGAGAATAAGTGCTCTCCTTAATACCTATCACCAAGAGTATAGTTAAGTCCTAGTATTTAAATATTTGTATTCTGTCTCTCCAGAAGAGCCTTGAGGCTGTAAGACTTAGTGTGGTTTTCATCTTTGATTTACAGTCGTGTATTTGGACAAATGAAAAATAGGGACAGACTTAGAAGGAATTTTTCTTTTGATGACTTAAGGCAGCACCCTGATATTTTCCCTCATGTTTTCAAGGCTGACCTTGGTCCCGACAAGTATCTGTCAGATAAAGATTTTCAGTGTCTAATCAAACTTCTGCCTTCCTGTTTGGTGAGTACAAGCCCTTCTATTCTTTTCCTTTTTTTACTATTTTATTTTAAGTAATTTCTACAGGCATCAGGCTCAAACGTACAACCCCAACATCAAGAGTCACACGCTCTACAGACTGAGCCAGCTGGTGCCCTGAAACCTTCTCTTAATTCTAGGTGCTAATGACAGATTCAGAGTGTTTTCTTGTTGACGACCATGGACAGAAGAGATGGAAATACTTGTAGGCTTAACAGAACGGAGACAGGTATAGTGGATGTCGGTTGACTGAAATGGCTCAGGCTATTGCCGTAGTTCAGAGGCTGTTTAAATGGCATTCATGACATCTGCACAACCCATGAAACACGATAATTTAAATGCTTATGTGTGTTGTAAGCACATAGCAGAGGAGGGAAGCACCCATTTAATTCTTGGTGAAGATGTTTCTCCCAGTGGAATTGACAGATCTGTTTCTGGCCTGAGAAAACAGAACTAAGATGGATTTAGATAAGCTGGGTGAGGGAAGACGCTAGAGCCCTTTAGCTCTCTGAGTCACTCTTTTTTTTTTTTTTTTAAGATTTTATTTCTTTATTCATGTGAGAGAGACACAGAGAGAGAGGCAGAGATACAGGCAGAAGGAGAAGCAGGCTCCATGCAAGGAGCCAGATGTGGGACTTGATCCCGGGACTCCAGGATCATGCCCTGGGCCGAAGGCAGGCGCTAAACTGCTGAGCCACCCAGAAGTCCCCAAGTCACTCTTCTCACAGGCTGACTGCGTGGGCTTTAGGAGTGTCTGGCTTTATTTGTGCTAATATACAGTTCTGACCCAAGGCCTTTAGTGGAAAGAACCACATCAGTACAGTTCAGAATATATACAGAATGTCTTTAGGAAAAGACTAATCTTATGGCCAGAAAAGTGGGTTAGTATTGATGTTCTTTATCTGTGGTCTGCATGAGGATGTAGGACCCTAGAAGGAGTCATTCATGGGCATAATTATGCTGACCTATCCAGTTGGGTTGGCAGGTTCATTTTTGAGGATAGAGTGTCTTGTCAAGCTAGCAAAACCAAGCTTTTAATGAAGTGTGCAGTGTAGCCAAAAAAAATGCTGTGGTCTTAGTGTGTGACTAGTTGTGTGACACAGGCTCTAAGCATGCAGTTCCAGATTTCTTTTAATGGTTGTGCTTAAAATGGTTTAAGAAAAGAAAGTAGTGCAGGTAAGTGGTGCATATTAATTGTAGAAGGGTCAGAAAACACGAATAAGCAAAAATAAGAAAATAAAACTCACTTGTGATCCCAACTAACCAGGAGTATGAACCAAAATGTTCAGTTGTTGCTTTTCTAGAACTTTATATGGTTATTTTTGAAAAATTATACACATACTGTTTTAAAACCTGATTTTTTGGTTAATGGTATGCCATACACATCTTTTATGTTGAATAAATATAGTAACACATCATTATTACTGGCTGTATAGACTATCATTGGCTTTACTTCAGTTTATTCAACTAATCTTCCACAAGACATTTGGACCACTTCCAGTTTTTGTTCTTATTTAAAGAAAGCCACAGTGAGCAATTCAGGCTAAATATTTGTACCCCAAATTAACAAGAATTAATAAGGGGGATATTTTGAGACTATATAAATATCCTATTCTTATTAAACCCCCGCTAGTTTTAGCTTCATTGAGATTTTCCAATGCCATCATTTCTCTTATGTTCATCAGTTGGCATTTTACTGTAAGGAAGGGCTTCCTGTTCTCCCCTTTGTCTATTTATATCAGTATGGAGTCAAGGATCTTTATTTCATTCATTGGGTTCCTTTTTGGGGGGATGAGAGTGTTCTAAAATTAGATTATGTGGTAGTTTGTACAGCTCTGAATATACTGAAAAACACTGAATTGTACACTATAAATAGGTGAATTATAATGGCATATGAATTATATTTCAATAAAGCTGTTACAATAGCAATAACAGTCATTTTGATGCGATGGTCAGAAAAAACTTCATGATCAAAGACTATATTTTCTTGGGCACATCTTTCCATCTCACAACCCACTCAACCCTGCCCTCCCAAATCTTTGCACAGCTCAGCTCTCATGGGTTTAAATTTTAATGGTGCTCCCTTGAGCTAATGGACATCGTAATACCTGTCTGAAGCCAGTTGGTTCATATAACCAGAATTCCATGTCATATGGGGACTTTCCTTTCAGTCATTAATTTGTCTTACTCTCCACCCCCACTTGATTGACATCAATGTCCCCATCTTAGGAAGATACTGTGAATCATCATACTGTACACTCCAAAAGAAGAATGGGAAGATTCATGCCAGCTGCCTTGGAAGAAGGCCAAGATGCCAAAAGATGCTGCTTCTGCTTATTTTCTGGCTTTTACACTCCTTGGCTTAACACCAAACAGCAGTGTGAAATGTTAGGCAACACTGTGAATGAAGACACATTTATCCTGGTCTTCACATGGCTGTTCTAGGATTTGGCTGTATTCTTCACCAATTTACAGAAGCAGAACATTTAAACCATTATCCTCCAAACTCAGACATTCCCTTTTTTAAAAAATTTTATTTTAAAAGATTTATTTATTTATTTATTTATTTATTTATTCATTCATTCATTCATTCATTCATTCATTCATTCATTCATTCATTCATTCGAGACACAGAAGGAGAGAGAGGCAGAGACACAGGCAGAGGGAGAAGCAGACTCCATGCAGGGAGCCTGACGTGGGACTCCATCCTGGGTCTCCAGGATCACGCCCTAGGCTGAAGGTGGCGCTAAACCGCTTAGCCATTGGGGCTCCCCAGACTTTCCCTTTCTTCCACACTTTTGCCTGAGCTGTGAAAATGTGCAGACCCAGGCAGATACGTTCATGCCTAGAGCTCACTGGGCCGGTTATGCATGTCCCTTTGTTGGTATAGTTTATGTCCCTTTTCTCGTCTAAAGAACGGGGTGCTAGTTGATCATCTGATAAGAAAATGCCACATGTTCAGGAAACATCCTCACATTTTTGCACAACTAAACTACTGAGGTGGTACTTAACTCTATGTTATCAGATTCTTGATGTCAAAGGACCTAGATGCTGATGCAAATAAATGTGAATTTGTTTTGTTTTGGCAGCACCCTTATATCTATCGAGTTACCTTTGCCACAGCTAACGAATCCTCAGCATTGCTTATTAGGATGTTTAATGAAAAAGGAACTTTGAAGGACCTGATCTACAAGGTACTTGTGGTGCAAGTTCATGGTCATAAAGAAGTTCTTGAGTCCCTTGAGAACTTGTTACAGATACTTGATCCCTAAGGTTTTAGAAGCCCTGAAGGTTTTATTTTAATTTGATTTGAAGTTTATTTTGATTTGACTTGATTTTTTAAAAGATTTTATTTATTCATGAGAGACACAGGCAGAGATATAAGCCAGAGATAAAAGCAAAAGGAGAAGCAGGCTCCCACAGGGAGCCTGATGCTGAACTTAATCCCTAGGACCTCGGGATCACAACCTGAGCCAAAGGCAGATGCTTAATCACTGAGCCACCCAGGTGCTCCTTATTTTGATTTTAACAATAAAACTACCCAGTCTGGTTAAAGAGCATTCCTTTCCCCAAATGAAAGAAGGTTGAACAGATAATGATTAGGTCCATTATGTTGTAGGCTGCTCTCTAGGTCAGTTTTAAGGTTTGTGTCTTTCACTTAACAATGTAATACTGACCTATCTCAGTAAAGTTGGAAACAAGACTTTGGGGTCTGCTCAGGCCAAGTCCAGGCCCATCTTCACTAGACCAGAGAAGGGATGGAACTCAAGTCAGCCTCTTTCTATCAACCATATAGACTTATATTTAAAAAACCCACATCCTGCGAGCTGACCTCATCTGGCACCCCCAACTGCTTAGAGTCTTGCTTGTTCCAGGAGGCTACATGCAGAATTCAAACTCTCTGCTGTTCTCATATGCTCTTTGTACTTTTCCAAAGGCAAAACCAAAAGACCCGTTCCTCAAGAAGTATGGCAACCCTAAGAAGATTCAGGGCCTTGAACTCCAGCAAATAAAAACATATGGGCGGCAAATATTAGAGGTAAGAGGTGTTTAATATTTGCTTAGGTTGCATTGGAATTTCACCCAGATTACAGTCTTTTGGGAAAGTTCTTAGGTATATATCCAAAATAGTTTAAGTTGCCAGATCACTTATAAACTGATGGCATTGTCCTATTTTATCCCAAAAGTCAAATATGTGAGACTAAGACATCTAATTGAGATCTAGAAAATTCTGAAAGCTTAGCTATTGGAGTTTAGTGTCTGATCTTTAAGAACTTTAGCATGCAAATACCAGCTTGTGTTATGTTTGGTTGATCTTTATCTTTGTGCCAAGATCGTTGGTTTTGTTATATTAATACATAACCATATGGCTTCTTTGCAGAAGTGTAACTAGCATGAAAAGTCTTTCCCATATCACTCTCTAGAGCAGTGTCCTCCAGGCTTCTTGGATTGTGTGATCCTATCAGTGAAAACAATTTAAGCCTCACCCCCCCACCCAATGTTTCATATATATAATTATTATATGCATACACTACTATTAATATCTGTCGTACATTATAAGTTAAGTTAGGAAAGAAGGGGATTTTTTTTTTCTTAAAGTAGGCTCCACACCCAGTGTGGAGCCCAACAAGGGGCTTCAACTCATGACCCTGAGATCAAGGCCCAATCTGAGATCAAGAGCCAGATGCTTAACTGACTGAGCCACCCAGGAGCCCTGGAAAGAAGGAGATTAAAAACAAACAAAAAAGAAAGAGAAGTCATATTTTCTTCTAGTCCTCAGTAGTTTGTCCCAGGTACCCCCTTTGACTAGCACTACTCTAGTTCACGAGGTCATTCTGGGTATATCTTCTTACTGGGTGAACCACTGTTTGTTAAATGGCAGCCGAAAAAGTTTGCTTCTTTCTGTGGGAGCCTGTCATGTGTTCCTATTAATAAACAGCCCAACACACTCTGGGAAGAGATTGGTCTAGAGATGTTTTTAGCTCAGTCTCTTTTCCTGAACAATTGGCCAATGCCCTGACATGATAGCTTTACTCATTTGTGCAGGGGGATCAAGACTTTGGCCTGAAAAGAGCTGGCCTGTTGAGATCAGAAAATGCTTGAAGTAGAGCTTTTTGGCATCAAAGCTGTTAACCCCAAGCAGATGTCGGCTGCTCCTCTGTTCTTTGGAAATGAGGGAGCTTGGCATTGGATCGCACAGCTGGAAAGCATTCAGCATCAACCCCTTTTCCAAAGAAATGGATGGAGGTGGCATTTTTCTTTAGGAATGTCCTCAGTGACCTGTTTGGTTTTGTTTCAAAATACATTGACTTGGGGATCCCTGGGTGGCGCAGTGGTTTGGTGCCTGCCTTTGGCCCAGGGCGCGATCCTGGAGACCCGGGATCGAGTCCCACGTCAGGCTCCCGGTGCATAGAGCCTGCTTCTCCCTCTGCCTATGTCTCTGCCTCTCTCTCTCTCTCTCTCTCTCTCTCTCTCTCTGACTATCATAAATAAATAATAAAAAAATACAAAATACATTGACTTAAAAAACAAAGTTTACCCTGTCTCATAGCTGAATGAGTTGGGGGACAGGGAATGTAACCGAACATATATATTTTTTTTAACAGGTATTAAAGTTTCTACATGACAAGGGATTCCCTTATGGGCATCTTCACGCCTCCAATGTGATGCTAGATGGTGACACTTGCCGGCTGCTAGACCTTGAGAATTCCTTATTGGGTCTTCCTTCCTTCTACCGATCCTGTTTTTCACAATTCAGGAAAATCAATGTAAGTTGCTAAAAGTAATGAAACTGCATGTTCATTTTTAATTATAAATTATCCCTGTGATCTGCCCATGGAAGAAATATGCACTAAGCAGTGAAAGGTACAGGCAGGGTAGGCCATGCCTCTTGGCTCTGCTTTCCCACAGAGCATTACTCCTTTTTTAAAAAAATTAAATTAAATTTATTTTATTTTATTTTATTTTATTTTATTTTATCTTATCTTATTTTATTTTATCTTATTTTATTATTTGAGAGAGTGTGCAAGAGAGAGCACAAGCAGGGGGAACAGCAGGGGGAGAGGGAGAAGTAGGCTCCCCCATCGAGCAGGCAGCCTGAGGCGGGGCTCGATCCCAGTACTCTGGGATCATGACATGAGTCGAAGGCAGAGATGCCTACCTGGCTGAGCCACCCAGGCGCCTCCCATCACTCTGTCTTTAGGAGCCTTGTTGATATGGTAGATGGGACACGGAGGGACATAGAATCACTGACTGGAAAACAATGGAGAGTAGGACCAAGACTGTGGGTCAGAGCAATGCCTTGTGAGCTTTTGCAAAAGGCCTTGGAGTTGTGTTTTCACTACCAGTTACAAAGCCAAACTGAAAGAAAACCATGTTGCTGCTTTCTTGTCTCCACAGACATTGGAAAGCGTGGACGTCCATTGCTTTGGCCACTTACTGTATGAGATGACTTATGGACGGCCGCCAGACTCAGTGCCTGTAGACTCCTTCCCTCCTGCACCGTCTATGGCTGTGGGTCAGTATGGGTTTTGGAGGAGTCTTCTGGGCCCTGGTAGTCTACAGAGCTACTCACCCCCTCCAGAGTCCAGGAAGGACCCAGAGGAAGTTGCCATGCTCGCATAACGAGCCAAATCAATTTAAAAGTAAACCATGTCTGAGCAATTTATTTAAATTCACTTCACTAAAAATTCAGATGGCTTGTCCATTTGTCAGGCTATCTGAAACCTCAGGAGACATTTTGTAACTGCATTTGAATTTCAGAAGGAGGAGGTTATAAAGAGAAGTCTGGCCAGACTGAGTCTGATATAGAAGCAGAAGCCAGGAACAGGCAAATTGAAGCCAGCCTTTCAACTCAGGCAGGTGTCAGGAGCCAGACCAATGCTGGAGTGGGACCTGCAAGGAATAAGAGCCATGGGCCAGACATCTGGTAGATAAAAACCTAGTAGGACGAGAGTGAGGAAGGGTAGGCAGGAATCATAGACACCTGGCCAGTGGGATCCAGGAGTTCTTAGGGGTCTGAGGAGGGCCAATGGACAGGTGGGAGACACGTTGGGGAGAGACATGTAAGAGCTGATGGAGACTCTTCCAGGGATCCTTCCATTGCCCACCCATACCAGCTCAGAGCTTACTTCTAGGGCACCGAGAGGGGAGGGCAGGGTAGATCTTAGACCACCAAGCCTTTGAGGTATGCAAGCTAACTCTCCACCAAGTGCTGGGTTTGTGTCAAATGAGGTGCTTCAAGAGTACAGGCCCTGAGACTACTTTGTGTTAAGTTCGAAGAGCTGAAACTGAGCAGTGACCTGTGCATAGAAAAATCCGGCTGCTTCTGTTTATATTATCCAAGGTGCTGGATGACGTGATATCAACAATTGGCATTTTGTGTACTGGTTTTGATTAAAAGCAAGCAAGCAGCAAAATGTCTTTCAAGTTTGGGATTTTCTGTGCAGTGTTTACTTCTCTTTTAAGAGAGCAAACACTTCTATGAATGATATCTGGAATCCTTCCTCCAATTATCTTTGAAATATATTTAGCTTTCTGTCAGCATGTGGTTTCTGAACCATTTATTTTGAGTCATCGGTAACATGGTATTGCCAACATTCCCCTTCCCCACGTATGCCATCTGTCTGTGCGTGAAGAGTTTTGACACCGTCCTGATAAGCCTGCAGACAGTTGTGGCAAAGTGGTGTCAAACTTTTCATCACCAAGTGGATTTGCCAGCATGTTCTGTGGAACTAAAATGTGTATCTGTTCATTTCAAGTGGCCGTGTTGGAGTCTACGCTGTCTTGTGAAGCCTGTAAAAATGGCATGCCTACCGTCTCCCGGCTCTTACAGATGCCGTAAGTCAATCATATGCCTTGGTTGTAATCTTCATAACCGTGTAGAATGCCGGACCAGGTGCCTAGTGCCACAGTAAGGACTCAGGTGTGGTCCTTGCAGAGTTGAAGTGACCTGATCGCTGTTGGTCACTTGCAGCATGATGTCATGACCTCTCCTTGTAACTTCCCTACCATAGTGTGACTGCTCTCCCTTGGTGTTCACATCTTCATGTATGTCTCTCCCTGTCGATGTTAGCATCATGTGTATGTACGCGTGGCCTCCCCACCCCCGCCTCTGCTCCCACTTAAGACATGCTGACGGAGGGCCTGCTCAAGCTTCATGGCCCTGTTTCAGTGCCCCAGATGGCCCTCAGCCTTGGCTGGTTCTGCCGTCTAGGAGGAGCACAACATGTTTCTGACCCCCCATGCACTCGTTTGGTCCTTTGCTCCCTGGGTAACATTTATTAAACATCTAACATGTACCAGGCATTGTGTGAAGGGCTTGGAGCTCAGAAGACATTCTCCCTTCAACTGGGTTATGCCTAGTTCAAGACCATTGAAATAGTGCCACAGGGCCTTGCCTCTGGGTATGTGTCCTTCCCATCCCTGGAGAGGGTAGCAGGGTGGTTAAGAAGGGTGCATGCATCTGAGGTTAGACAGACCTGGGGGTGGATCCAGCCTTACTGCTTCTACCTGGGTGACCTTGGGCAAGGTTCCTGCATTTGGAAGCTGAGGCTTCTTGTCAGTGGAATGGTGATAATAAGAGGCCCCATCTGAAGGGTTCTTGGGCAGATGGAATAAGATGATTCTGGTGAAGTGCCAGGTACTTAAGAGCTTACTGAATGTTAGCTGTGATGAAGATGAATTCAGCTTACAGTTTGGGAGCACCACGTGCCATGCAGCATACCTAGTGCATTGTCTGGACCAGCTTGTTTTATATCAGGTGTACTTAGAGACAGTAATGTGGGAAAACAGAGCAGGGCTTAGCTTGAAGTGCATATGGCCAGAGCTCAGAGGACATCTATGTGTTTAGAGAGGGTCTGCTCGAGCCTGGGCACTGCTCTAGCCCTGAAGAAGCTCTGCCTAGCTCCTCTAGCCCCTGCCCTGTGGATGTGGCATTTAAAAGTTATATTGACACTGGTACGCCCCTCTCCCCAGCGGCCACCATTAACAACAGTGTGACTATGAAAAGGTAGATCCAGTTAGGGCAATGAAACAATTTTCACACAAGCTTTTAGAAGAAAATGGATTTGTAGTCAGGGAACAGCGCGGATCCACACTGATTTACTCGGGTTTGCATTTGCACACCCCCCACCCCCAATTCTCCTCCCAGTCTTTGAGGTCTAAAAGAAAACCACATTGTTTTTTCCTCACCTTAAGTCTTTATACCCTGTGGCCTTCAGCCTTGGGAAGAACACTTGATGTTCAGTTGAAACATGTTTTCTGGAAGTAAATGGGTCTGTGGCCTTGACAAGGAGAGTTCTGTCACCACCTTGAGAGAACAAGGGAACCCAGGGAACACTGTGGGGAAGAGTTAACTATGTCATTTCTACTTGTGACACATTTCCTGTTTTTTAAAACGGAGGATTCCTCAAGCAAGACTCCCATATAGCTATGTGGGCATGGCCCAAGCAACCATTTAAATTCTCCAAACTGTCTCAGTCAAAGTAGTTCAGAATTCCTCATGCTGTTGTTCTTAGTAACGTGACTTGTGAAGAGACAATTGATATACTCTAAAAGCTGCTTTTTTTTAGAAGAGAATATAAAAAACACTTCTTAGAAGAAAATTACTTTCTTGTTAGATTCCAATCAGAACAGTTTCTTTCTACTTACACATTTTATTTTACTGAGTTCTAGAATAAATTTTTAAGATTTCTTTATTTTAGAGAGAGCAGGGGGAGTAGCAGAAGGTGAGAGAGAGACAGAGAGAGACAGAGAATCTTAAGCTGACTGACTCCGAGCTGAGTGTGGAGTCCAATATGGGGCTTAATCTCACAGCCCTGAGATCATGACCGGGGCTGAAACCAAGCAGCGGGCGCTCCACTGACTGAGCCACCCAGGTGCCCCTAGAGTAGATTTTACCCTCTTCTGGGGTTTAAAAAAGGAGAAATTGATTACCCTGTTTAGAAGTATCTACCGCATATATTATTTACAGTATAATAAATATAACAATGTGATAAAATAATAATATAATAATTTGCAAAACTGATTTTTTAAAGTGTTGATTACTTTACTATATAGCAGGAGAGGACTGTTGCCCTGAAGTATGGGGAAATGACCTTCAGACCTGGTCCAGTCTCTCCCTGGTAGTGCCTCTGATACTGGAGGTATAGGGAGGAGGGTTTATCCGAGTTCACATAGGGTGGCCTATAAACTTCTGAGTTTGTCGATAAGCCTGAAACAGTGGACTGGGCCAGGGCTGGGGAATGTGAGAGCTTCATGGGGTAAAGATGTCTCATTCTGTTTTGATCCTGTTCTGAGAAGACAACTGGCTTAAGAAAGATTTTGTTTCTTTTCTTAACAGATTATTCAGTGATGTTTTACTAACCACTTCTGAAAAGCCACAGTTTAAGGTAAAGCAAATCATATCATTTTTTTGGTTTGTGACATAGATAAGTTGATTTTGAAACTTAGTGCTTAAAAAAAAATTATTGAGGTAGAACTGACATACAGCATTATATCAGTTTCAGGTGTACAACATAATGATTTCTATATTTGTATACATTGTGAAATGATCACCGCAATAAGTCTAGTTAATGTCTATCACTATATATAGTTAAAATTCTTTTCTTCTTGTGGTGAGAACTTTTAAGATTTAACTTTCTTTGCAACTTTCAAGTATACAATACAGTATATTAATAATAGTCACTATGCTGTACATTATATACCTGTGACTTACTTATTTTGGAACTAGAAGTTTGTACCTTCTGTCCCCTTCATCCATTTCATTTGCCCTCCTCCTCCCCTCCCCGATCCTGGCAACCACCATTCTGTTCTCTGTGAACAATCTGTTTTCTATGAGTTTGGATTTTGTTTTGTTTTGTTTTGTTTTTAGATCCTACATGTAAGTGAGATCATATGGTATTTGTCTTTCTCTGACTTATTTCACTTAGCATAATGCCCCCAAGCTTCATTCATGTTGTTGCAAATGGAAGGATTTCCTTTTTTATGGCTGAGTAATATACCATCATATATACCCACATTTTCTTTATCCATTCATCCATTGACAGACACTTCGATTGTTTCCATGTCTTGGCTATTCTAAATAATGCTGCAATGAACACAGGAGTGTCTATCTTTTTGGGTTTTGTTGTTGTTGTTGTTGTTTTATTTTTATTTTATTTTATTTTATTTTATTTTATTTTATTTTATTTTATTTATTTTTTTTAGTGTCTATCTTTTTGAATTAGAGTTTTCTTTTTTTTTTTTTTAAGATTTTATTTATTTATTCATGAGAGACATAGAGAGAGAGAGAGGCAGAGACACAGGCAGAGGGAGAAGCAGGCTCCATGCAGGGAGCCCAATGTGGGACTCGATCCTGGGACCCCAGCATGCCCTGGGCCGAAGGCACATGCTCAACCACTGAACCACCCAGGGATCCCCTAGAGTTTTCATTTCCATATGGTAGTTCTGTTTTTAATTTTTTGAGGACCCTCCATACTATTTTCCTAATTTACATCTCCATCAGTAGTGTAAAGTTTTCTTTTTTTTCCACATCCTTGCCAACTGTTATTTCTTGTTTTTTTTTTTTTTTTTTTGATACTAGCCATTGTAACAGATGTGAGGTGATATATCTTGTGGTTTTGATTTGAATTTCCCTCATGATTAGTGATGTTGAGCACCTTCTCATTACCTGGCCATCTGTATGTCAAGATGTCAAATTAGTGCTTTTTTTTAATCAAACAAGGGAAGTTACGGTATTTTTTTAAATTTATGTACAGATTCTCCACTGAGCAGAAAGCCCAATGCCAGGCTCAACCTCAGGACCTACCTGAGCCAAAGGCAGAGATGCTCAACCGACTGAGCCACCGAGGCACCCCAATTTGATATTTTTTATATATTATGAAGTCACCCCCACGATAAATCTAGTTACCATCACCACCAGTTAAAATATTATTGAGGGCAGCCCAGGTGGCTCCGTGGTTTAGCGCCGCCTTCAGCCCAGGGTACAATCCTGGAGATCTGGGATCGAGTCCCACGTCAGGCTCCCTGCATGGAGCCTGCTTCTCCCTCTGCCTGTGTCTCTGCCTCTCTCTCTCTCTGTGTGTCTCTCATGAATAAATAAATAAATAAATCTTTAAAAAAATATTATTCACTGCATTCTCTATGCTGCAATAAACATGGCTTATTCATTTTATAACTGGAAGTTTAGGTACAATATTTGTAATATTGAAAATCTGAATGTTCTGCAATTAGGGAATAGCTTAATAATTCATGTTACCTCTGTTTGATAAATGCTTTTTATCTAATAAAAGTAAAGTTTATAAAGATTTTATAGTAGCATGGAAAACGATTATTTGGGCTAAGGGAGAAAAAGAAACAGGATATAAAATACAATGTGTAAGAAGAATACCTGTGACTATCAGAAAAGCAAGAAGGACATATCCTGGGAAATAAAAGTGTTGTATGGTATGGAAAGATCAGGGACTTTGGAACCAAAAAAAAAAAAAGAAGCCCAGAGTGATGCTTTGCTTTTATTAATACCAATTGTATATCTATAAGGCTGGTTTTCTCAGACATGACATTTGACATTTTGGTTTTTTTGTTTGTTTGTTTGGTTTTTTTTTAAGATTTTATTTATTTATTCATGAGAGACACAGGCAGAGGGAGAAGCGGGCTCCATGCAGGGAGCCCGATGCAGGAACTCAATCCCGGGACTGCGGGATCACACCCTGAGCCAAAGGCAGACGTCAACCACTGAACCACCCAGGCATCCCGACATTTGACATTTTGGATCAGAATGCTGTTTGTTGTGGGGGCTGTCCTGTGCATTTTTTTTTTTTTTAGAGATTTTATTTATTCATGAGAGACACAGAGAGAGAGCACGAGAGAGGCACAGGCAGAGGGAGAACAGGCTCCCTGCAAGGAGCCTGATGTGGGACTCGATCCCGGGGCTCCAGGACCACGGCCTGGGCCGAAGGCAGGCGCTAAACCCACTGAGCCACTCAGGGATCCCCAATGTCCTGTGCATTTTGGAGGTTACGCAACATCCCTGGCCTGTACCCACTAGATGCGAGCAGTACTTCCACCCCACACATTTTGACAGCAAAAAATGTTTCCAAAAATTGCCAAATGTTCCTTAGAGAAAGAGGGGGCAAAACCACTCCCATTTGAGATCCACCCATTTATGGGCCTAATCTTTGAGTTGATGTTTACTCAGTGTGTACAGTTGGTGAGTAACACCTGTTTATTGTCCTTGGTCAACTGAGATCCTGGTACAGGGCCTGGCTTTCCTCAAGGCTTGAGGTGAATTTTGTTCTGGGTAGTGAATAAAGAGTGGTTCTTCCCCAGCTCCATATTCCTAAAAGAACACATAATAGTATTATGATGAAATTCAGTTTATTTATTTTTTTTTAAATTTTTTTATTTTAAATTATTTATTTATGATAGTCACACAGAGAGAGAAAGAGAGGCAGAGACACAGGCAGAGGGAGAAGCAGGCTCCATGCACCAGGAACCCGACGTGGGATTCGATCCCGGGTCTCCAGGATCGTGCCCTAGGCCAAAGGCAGGCGCCAAACCGCCGCGCCACCCAGGGATCCCAGTTTATTTTTTTATTAATATTTTTTTTAATCCTTTTTTTTAAAGATTTTATTTATTCATTCATGAGAGACACAGAGAGATAGAGAGAGAGAGAGGCAGGGATCCCTGGGTGGCGCAGCGGTTTGGCGCCTGCCTTTGGCCCAGGGCGCGATCCTGGCGACCCGGGATCGAATCCCACGTCGGGCTCCCGATGCATGGAGCCTGCTTCTCTCTCTCCCCTCTCTCTCTCTCTGTGACTATCATAAATAAATAAATAAAAATAAAAATAAAAAGATTAAAAAAAAAGAGAGAGAGAGAGAGAGGCAGAGACACAGGGAGAGGGAGAGGTAGGCTCCATGCAGGGAGCCTGACGTGGGACTCCATCCAGGGTCTCCAGGATCATGCCCTGGGCTGCAGGTGGCGCCAAACCACTGTGCCACCGGGGCTGCCCTGAAATTCAGTTTAGGAAAAACAAAAACAAGGTAGGGTCAGAAGATTGTACAGAGGAGGAAGACACTTTCCTCTGTCCTGTTTTGCCAGTCATAGTTCTGACAAAAATAGCTTGTTTGGATCTGAAGTAGGAAAGAAAAACATTTAAATCCATCTCTTCTTCACTGAAACCCCTCAGGAAATATATTCAGCCTAGTAAATAAATATGCTCTCCTCAACCCTGAAAGTCCAGCCCAAGAATTATTATTAGACCTTGTTCTTTCTCCAAATCAGAGAGTCTGTGTAACAATGACAACTTGATTTTAAAAACCAAGGTTAATTTCTTGCGTATGCACCTTTTTCTGGAAAGACGTACAAGAAACTGGTGACAGTGGTTGCTTCCATGAAGGAGAACTAGTTGGCAGACTTTGTACTCTGTATGTACCCTTTCATATCTTTGGGTTTTGAACCATATTACCTACTCAAAAGGTTTTTAGTTTTTTCTTTTTAATATTTTATTTATTTATTCATGAGAGACAGGGAGAGAGAGAAAGAGAGGCAGAGACAGAGGGAGAAGCAGGCTTCCCCATGGCACAGGAGCCCAATGTGGGACTCAATCCCAGGACCCTGGGATCATGACCTGAGCCAAAGGCAGATGCTTAACTGACTGAGCCACCTAGGTGCCCCTAGATGTTTGGTTTTTTTTTTAAGATTTTATTTATTTAATAGAGAGAGTGCACAAGTAGGGTAAGGGGCAGAGGGGAAGCAGGTTCCACACTGTGCAGAGAGCCTGACGTGGAGCTCAACCCCAGGACTCTGAGATCATGACTTAAGCCGAAGGCAGTTGCTTAACCAACTGAGCTATCCAGGCACCCCACCTACTCGACAGTTTTTAAATTTAAAATTTTTAAAAAATATTTTATTTATTCATGAGAGACACGGAGAGACAGAGAGGCAGAGACACAGGTAGAGGGAGAAGCAGGCTCCATGCAGGGAGCCCAATGTGGGACTCGATCCCAGGGCTCCAGGATCACGCCCTGAACTGAAGGCAGCGCTAAACTGCTGAGTTACCCAGCCTGCCCTAAATTTAAATTTTTAAAAGGATAATAGAGACAGAGACAGAAAGTTCAACATGATTCAGGTATCTCTTTCCCAGGCTTGAGCATCCTGTGGCTTGAGAAACTAATAAATTAAGAAATAACAGACTCAGGGGACACCTGGGTGGCTCAGCAGTTGAGCATCTGCCTTCGGCTCAGGGCGTGATCCTGGAGTCCTGGGATCGAGCCCCATATCGGGCTCCCTGCGTGGAGCCTGCTTCTCCCTCTGCCTGTGTCTCTGCCTCCCCCCCGCACCGTGTCTCTCATGAATAAATAAATAAAATCTTAAAAAGAAAGAAATGACAGACTCAGAAGCATACCAGATAGGTACCAGGCTCTTGTTAAGAGTATCTAATGGCAGGGGGTGCCTCAGTGTCTCAGTTGCTTAAGCATCGGTTTCTTGATTTCATTTCAGGTCATGAACTCAGGGTTGTGAGATCGAGCCCCAAGTCTTGGGGCTCATGCTGAGCAAGGAGCCTGCTTAAGATTCTGTCTCTCCCTCTGTTCACCCACCTCCCTCACACTCTCTCAAAAAAAAGGGGGGATTTTCTGGCAGAAAAAACTTTAAGCTTGAAATTTAGAAAGTAAATCTTTCACAGAGAAGATTCCTCTCAAGTTATAAAATACTATGGTTACTTGAATTTGTGTGTGTGTTCCAATAAGCTGTATATATTTTTACTTTTAATTATGATAAAAAATAGGAAAGTTAACCTCTTAACCACTTTTAAGTAAGTATACACTTCAGTAGTGTTAACTATATTCACATTCGTTATGTCACATATCCCTCGAATTTTTTATCTTGCTAACTGAAATTCGAGCCCCATCAAACAACTCCCCATTAACCCATCCCCAGTCCTTGGCAAATACAGTTCTACTTTCTGCTTCCATGACTTTGACTATTTCAGATATCTCATATAAGTGGAAGCATACAGCATTTGTTTTTTTTGTGACTGGCTTATTCACTCAGTGTAATGCCCTATCTGTTCATCAGTGTTATAGCATGTGACAGGATTTTTTTTTCCCTTTTCTTTATTTATTTGATAAAGAGGGAGACAGAGATAGAGTGCATCAGTTGGGGGAAGAGGCAGGGGGAGAGGGAGGAGCAGACTCCCTGCAGAGCAGGGAGCCCAATGTGGGACTTGATCCCAGGACCCCAAGATCACAGCCTGAGCCAAAGGCAGATGCTTAACCAACTGAACTACCCAGCACCCCGGGATTTTCTTTCTTTCTTTCTTTCTTTCTTTCTTTCTTTCTTTCTTTCTTTCTTTCTTTCTTTCTTTCTTTCTTTCTTATTTATGATAGTCACAGAGAGAGAGAGAGAGAGAGAGAGAGAGAGAGAGAGGCAGAGACACAGGCAGAGGGAGAAGCAGGCTCCATGCACCGGGAGCCCGATGTGGGATTCGATCCCGGGTCTCCAGGATCGCGCCCTGGGCCAAAGGCAGGCGCCAAACCGCTGCGCCACCCAGGGATCCCCGATTTTCTTTTTTTTTTAAAGGCTAAATACGATTCTTTTTTTTTTTTAAGATTTTATTTATTTATTCATGAGAGACAGAGAGAGGCAGAGGGAGAAGCAGGCTCCATGCAGGGAACCCAATGTGGGACTCGAACCCAGGACTCCAGGATCACGCCCTGGGCTGAAGGGAATGATAAACCGCTGAGCCACCCGGGCTGCCCAAGCTGAATACTATTCTAGTATGCATATACCACATTTTCTTTATCCATTTCTCTGTTGGTGGATGTTTGAGCTTTTTTTTTTTTTTTTTTTTTTTTTTTTTTTTTTTTACCTCTTGACTATTGTGAATAATGCTGCAGTGAACTTGGATGTGCAAGTATCTCTTCAGGACCCTGCTCTCGATTCTTTTGGATACATATGCAGAAGTGGGATAGCTGGATCATAGTATTTCTTTTAGTCTTTTGAGGAACTTCCTGTTCTCTTCCATAGCAGCTGTACCATTTTACGTTCCCACCATCAGTGCCTATAGGTTTCACTTTCTCCACATCCTTGCCAACACTTGTTACTTCCTGCTTTTTCAACAGTGGCCATCCTAATGCGTGTGAGGTGATATCTCAGCATAGTTTTGGTTGACATTCCTCTAATGATGAGACATATTTTTTTGGGAAGATTTTTAATTTTATTTATTCATGAGAGACAGAGAGAGAGAGAGAGAGGCAGAGACATAGGCAGAGGGAGAAGCAGGCTCCATGGGAGGGAGCTCGATGTGGGACTTGATCCCGGGACTCCAGGATCATGACCTGAGCCAGTCAGATGCTTAACTGCTGAGCCACCCAAGTGTCCCTAATGATGAGAGATCTTGATTAATCTTTTCATAGACTTGTTGGCCATTTGTAAATCTTTTTTTTTTAAGATTTTATTTATTTATTCATGAGAGACACACAGAGAGAGAGAGGCAGAGATGTAGGCAGAGGGAGAAGCAGGCTCCATGCAGGAAGCCCAGTATGGGACTCGATCCCGGGACTCCGGGATCACACCCTGAGCCAAAGGCAGATGCAACCACTGAGCCACCCAGGCGTACCGCCATTTGTAAATCTTTAGAGAAATGTCTCTTCAGGTACTTTGCTCATTTTTTCCCTCTTAGATTGTTTTTTTCAGCTTTATTCTGGTATAATCTTTTTGTGACAAATTCATTTTTCCATCAGGTTACTTATCTTTCTTTCGTTGAGTTGTAAGAGTTCTTTATATATTTTGGCTTTTAGCCCCTTATTAAATACATGATTTCTAGTTATTTTCTCCCATTCTGTGGGTTCCTTTTTACTCTGTTGATTATTTCCTTTGATGATATGCAGAAATTTCTAAAATGTTCAATCTGTTTTTGCTTTTCTTGCCTTTGCTTTGGCATCTTATCCAAAATCACTATCAAATCCAATACCATAAAGCTTCTGTTTTGTTCTAGGAGTTTTACAGTTTTAGGTCTTCAGTCCAATTTTTTGAGTTATTTTTGCATATGGTATAAGGTGATGGTCCAGTTTCATTTTTTCACATGTAGATATTCAATTTTCCCAGCACCATCTATTGAAGACACTGTCTTTTTTTTCTGTTATGTACTTTTTGACACCCTAGTCATATATCATTTCACCATATACATGAGAGTTTATTTCTAGGCTCTCTATTCTGTTCTGTTGGTCTGTCTGGCTTTATGCCAGTATAACATTATTTTGGTTATTGTAGTTTTGTAATATATTTTGAAATCAAGAAGGTGATGCCTCCAAATTTTATTTTCTTTTTCAAGATTGTTTTGGCATTTTGGGATCCCTTGAGTACTACTTGAATTACTTGAAACATATATCATGTTTATTTATGTGTTTTATATATTGATTACTAAAAATGATAATGAAGTGAGCATGTTGGGGATGCCAGAAGTGTCCAGGATAGTATTCAAGTGGATATCTTATAACTGATTTTATTCCAGATGCTCTCCTTCATAATAACCAACTGCTCTTTATTAAAACCAGGACTTAAGAGAATCTCTAGCCATTTTACTCAGTGGATTATGTATTTTCTCTTCTTTCAGATCCCCACAAAGTTAAAAGAGGCATTGAGAATTGCCAAAGAATGTATAGAAAAAAGACTAATTGAAGAACAGAAACAGGTAAGTTGCTAGTAGCTCCTTGCCTTTTGATCTTTTAGCAGTTGCATCCTTTGCTATGGTATTCATAGTGACTTACTTTTGACTGGTTGTTCATCCTATAAACATTTATTTCATCCTTGCCCTGATCCAGGCTCCATTCTCAATGCTGCGAGATAGCTGATTACTTCACAGTGCTGTCCTCAGGCACTCAGCCCTGTGGGGGAAGCAAACACATGCATAACACGGGGTCATCCTTTATGGTGGGGGCAGTGGTAGGGTACATATGGCCCTTGCTCTAAAGGTACTGGGAGCCACACTTGTCTTCTCTCAAAGAAAGAAGGGCAGGGGGAAATGAGAAAAGTCTTCATCTTCTGGCATCCTCTTATCCCAGACATCCAGACCCAAGCTTGGAGGCAGGCAGGCTGAGCAAGGACAGAATTTTCATCCAGGATAATATGATTTGGCAAAACATGCTAGAGATGAAATTAATGAATTAATTAATGAATTAATGAAATTAATGTAGGGATACACTTACGTTTGTGGTGAATTGTGTTCTTGTATAGATTCACCAGCATCGAAGATTAACAAGAGCTCAGTCTCATCATGGATCTGAAGAAGAAAGGAAAAAGAGAAAGATTTTAGCTCGAAAGGTAAGCCTGGTATCTCCATATTCTCTTTGTGAATTCTTGACTACATATGAAGAAAGTTGTAGGTGAATAGCGCACGTCTAGCTAATGACAAGATTTTGTGCTGTATCTCCTTGAAAGTTAAAACGATTTCCAGATGACTTGGTTTGCAGCTTTTAAAAAGAGCCACATAGTACCAGCAGAGAAATGGACCATATAGTTTCCTGGCTTGCTGGGTTGATGACAGCCTGATGTAATTGGGGAGAATGACTGGCCTGAGATAGTAAACTCAGCATTCTTGGTTTTCTTCCCCCCTTTGGTTATGGCTTGTGGCTTCTTAACTGTATGAAGTTATGAGGCCAGATATGACCTCGTACATAGCTAGTTTAACTGTGTGCCTGGAAAATATTTGTATTCTAACTCTCAGCTTTAGTGTGTTTATTCTGTATTGTTCCCCATCTCTCTTTTATTTTTAAAGAAGTCAAAACGATCTGCTGTTGAAAACAGTGAAGAGCATTCAGCAAAATACAGCAACTCCAATAATTCAGGTAACTGATTCTAGATTGTAGTGGGGCCCCGGGCTCAAGGGTCAGGACTAGGAGTCAAGAGTTTTTGGCTTCTGGTGGCCAGAGACTGGGCAGTGTGGGAACAAAAGAACCCTCCCCTAGTAATGAATCATGACAACATTCACGGGCTCACAGGACTCTGGCACTGGAAGATCCTCAGAGGTTATGGGGTAACAACCTGTGCACTGATGGTGAGACTTGATCAACTAAAGATGAGCATTAGGCATGGATGCAAAACCAGTCCAGCTTACAACATGAGGCTGCCTGTTTGTCAGTAGAACCTACTCGAACAGAAACGACCCTGAATCCTGCACTCTACTCCAGTGCCCATGGGGTAGGAGGAAGTGCCCTCGTGTGTGAGTTAAGGGGAGCACTCAACAGTGTCTGTTGGGGTGGCAGAGAGTGTTATTCCAGAAGGGCTAGGGTGGTACAGAGAGCATCGTTCTGAGTTGGCAGTCCTTGCTGCCACTCCTTGCTTCCCCTCGCCCAGCCCTGCTGGCTTTGGACCTTAATATGTCCATCTTCAGAAATCAGAGCCAGATGGCATGATCCTTTGGGGACTTCCAGTTCTCCCACCTTATGAATCTGTGAGGTAGAGTTCCACATAAAGAAGGGGAGACTTCACCCGACTCCAGGCAGCTTTGGCTTAGCCTGGAGGGCCAAGGAAAGGGGAGGTTTTTGTTAGGTTGAGGGATAGCTGCATGTACTTTCAGGCAGGAGAAGGGCTCTGCAGAGAGGGAGAAGCTGAAGAGAGTGACCAGGAGGCCAGAAGGACAAGAGATTGGCCTCAGGAGCCCAGCTGTGGGTCTTACCATGGAGGAAGCCCACCCATCCCCTCTTGAAGGCAGGAGCCAGGAGAGCTGGGTAAAGAGGCAGAGGCATTTAGTTGTGGAAGGAGGGGAGGACATTGAGGGTGTTCACAGCTTTGCCCTTCTCAGGTCAGTGAGGAGACGCCTAGCCTGGGCACACAGGACGCCAAGGCTGGACCAGCCGCAGCCAGAGATCGCTGGCAGTGCAGGTGGGGCTGTTGGAAGAGGGACTGTGAGGGAAGATCATGGACTCCAGGAGGGGAGAATGTGCTGACACCACTGTCTGTAGACTTCATCCACAGAAGTAAAGGGAGGCCGGGAGGCCCCAGACCCTGAAGCCTCCAGTGAGGACTCTGGCCGGCTCCTCAGGGTTAGCGGCTGCTGTGGCCAGCAGTAATTCCAGAGTTGGAGGTCTCTTTTCTCCTCAGTTGATGCAATGGACATGGCCAGTCATTGTCATCATTAGACTCAGACTCATGTCTCCAACCAGCATGTCTGACAGATACTCTGTCCAGTGGCTAATTCTTTATAAAGCAGAGAAAGCCTAGCAGGGTGTTCCCGCCTCCCCGAGGCCCTGCCTGCCTGCAGGGCTCTGGGCCACATGCAGCCATATGAGATTCCAAGGACGCAGAGACCCCGCCACACCCTCAAGGAGCTCAGGAAAGCCAAGTAGCAGTTGGTGTAAATGTACAGATCATCTCCAACCCCACTGGGCTCACAAGTTCAGTTTTCTCCACTTTAAAAATCTAGGTTAGCTCTGCATAGCAGTGGGAAGACAGGCTGGGTTGGGTTTTATCTCAACTTTCAGGAAAACTCCTCTCCTAAGGTTAGAGGGAGGTGAAAGACCATTGCAACTTGTGAAAAGCTACCCTGCTTGAGGGAGGTGTGGTTTAATTCGGAAGCTTCTCCTGACACTCAGTGTCCATGCCGTGTCCAACCTGTCCCGTGGGTGGTGGGTGAGGTGCTGGTTGGAGGCTTCTCGGGGGCATGACAGCAGCCCTCCCTGGAGCTCTGGTCAGCCCTTCTTTGGACCTCTGTGGCACAGAGGGGCTTTTGGTTGCTACAAAAGGGCTTATGTAGGAACCTCTATCTGCTCATTGGGCCACTTTCCTGTCAGGCCAGGAGAGTATTCTCTGGGGACTTCTGAGCAATGGGAGATGCTGAGAACTTGAGAATATGGGAGTATGGACATTGTTTTAAGGACAAGAAGGGTATTTACTGGATTTCATCTAAGAAGAGGCCTGGGAGATCCACAAACTGCACAGACTGACCCTTATCTCATTGAACGTAGCTGCTGATAAAATGGAACTTTTGCTGAGTGCATTGCTAGGTGGACACTGTGGGGGGAGTTCTCACTTCCTTTGGAGAGGCCTCCACTGGACTGCTCTGACCCTCTCTGTCCTCTGTACGGTGGCCACTGTCATTTGTCATTCATCACGCAGGGACAGAGGCTGGGTCAGGAAGAGGTGCCATAGCCAACTGCAGACACCATCGACAGCTCAGGGTTGGTTTCGAAACAGGGAGGGTGTGGGGAGCAGTGGGTGGCAGGGAGCCCTTAGTGGCCTGCAGAGGAAGCATACCCTGCACTGCAGTGGAAGCCTGTGATCACTGGGCTCAGTCTCTGACTTCTTCATCCCTCCTTACCTTTTACCACAGGGCCCACTCACTCATTCTTAGACAACAGCGGTGGGTCCCTGCTCAGGCCAGATTCCAAATGTCTGTCTTTGGTCCCCAGGAGGGTTTCTCTGTGTTTTCTTTTAGCAGGATCTGGGGCCAGCTCACCTCTCACATCCCCGTCATCACCGACTCCACCATCTACAGCAGGTGAGTGAGGGAGACAGAGTACCTGCTGCCTTCCTCTCACCCAGCAGGAGGAGGAGTGGGGCCCCTTCTCTTCCTGCCCAGGCCCGAGTATTGCAGGGCTCAGGCAGTACTGGCCCTTCTCCAGTTAAACCATGGGTGTGCACGCTGAGAGAGCGGAGGGTCTAGATTAACAAACTCAGACTTTATGGGGAATGGAATAGTTGGTTTCAGAGGCAGGAGCCACCCTCTTTCTTTCTGAAAGAAAGCCTCTTTCTTGCTGAAAAGCCTCACACAGGGCTCCTCAGATCAGCTCCTGCCTTGATACATGCTGAGCTGAACAACACAGTTGCTCTGCTGCCCAGGTGCCTGTCCTTCCAGAGCTCTCTCCTCAGGGAGCCCAGCCACAATGTCTGTTTTGTCATGGAGCAGAACTGGTGAAATGCCCAGGTGTGGGAGTGACCTGGCCACCGGCTTCTGATTTCCTGATAACTGTGCTCTGTAATGCATTTACTCATCAGAATGTTTTTCTGTGGCTTGCCTTGGTTTTTGTCTTTATGAGTTAAATCAGATTACTATGAATTCTGTTTGAAAAAAATGTAGAAAGAATTTATCCTAGGGAATGTTTATAAAAATAATCTCTGATTCTTTGAGATAGTCTCATAATGCTCTTTCCCTCTTTCCTTTTTGAACTAGTATCTCTTTTCTGACCATTTTGCAAGCCTCATAAAAACACATGGGGAGACCAGTATTTCTTTTCACTTCTTAAAGAAACCAGATGTTCTGGACGTCAAAAGAGCTGGTTCTGCCTTTCAGAGCTTGTCAGCTGTGCTTGGAAGAGTTGCTGCAGCTGTCTGAAGGGAGGGTCATTGCCTGAGGTTGATTTATGAGTTGACAATTCCATATTCATCAAGGCTTAAGGCAATACCCAGGAGCTATCAAGACATTACCCATCTGCTCTCATGTCTTCTAACTGACCTTGCTAAGAAAATGACAAAGTACAAAAGGAATAGTTTGGACAGCTTACTTCTGGCTGGTGCTGTCTCCTCTTGCTGACTGAGAATGGTTACTACCGGGTGTTCTGGGCCAGGACCCATTTTGAGGAGCAAAGTACCTGGCTCATGGGAATGATATTCTTTTCTCTGGCTGACTTTGTCAGCAGATTTTACAAGAAAGACCCCAAATATTGTTCAAGAGAGAATATAATCCTCTCTGTCTTAAAAAAGAAAATCTTCTCTGGCTTATGTAGAGGTGACTTATATAGGTTGGTCAGAAATTTCTGGAGCTCCACTGCCCAGATTATCATGTTCAGCCATTTTCTGGAAGAAAGGATATTAACTTCATACCACTTTGTTTGAAGGAAATTGAGAGAACAAATTAGTGAGAATCCATAAACCCTTCTTTAATATACAGGGTATCTTTTTAGTCATATGGAGCACCTACTGTGTGCATTGGATGTGGTCCTGGGAAGTTAATTGCCAGTTCTCATTTTTAAATGCCTTGGGCAATTCTTAATCTATTTGGATTTGTTCATGAATCCTCTGATTTACTTGTGTTTGAATGGGAGCTATCTCATACTGTAGCAAGTTTGTGTGAGATGAAGTTTTTAGAATGAGAGAAGAGAAAAGGGAATCTTTTGTAATTAGATCAATGTTACAAAAATGTTGAGGTGAGTGGAGCAGCAGGGAACATTACTGTGAATTTGATGGTACCTATTCTGAAAGGGAATTGTAAGGATTGAGAGGGAAAACATGTGAGGCCCCAAGCACAAAGCCCGGTAGAGGTGGTAGGTTCCCAGCAAATATTGGCTCCTTTCCCTTATCTCCTCCAAACAATTTCTTGATGAAATTAGTATCTCAGCCCAGACTGTACTCTGACCTCTGCTGGGCACTTAACTGTAATGCATCTCTTAAAAATGACAACTAGCCTTTGCCAGTCAACCCAGCATTTCAGGCCCTAAACAGTAAATTTATTCATTCAGTTACTTAAGGTGCGTTTAGTGAGAGCCTGCAATGTGCTGGGCACTGTAGGTGGTCCTGGGTTATAGGATGGAATAGACAGGCAGGGCCCTAACTCATGTGGAGTCATTTCCAGTGCCTCTCAAGAGCTCCATAGTGATAGACATAATAAAGCAAATACTTTCCTTGGGGTAATATCTTCTCTCCTAGCATTTCCCTACCTCCAATAGAGAATCTCTACCTGAAAAACTGGTCCATCAGTTTCTGTTCTTCCAAGGCATGAGGGAGCCATGAATTAGGAGCAGCTTCATGCTACTGGTTGTTGCTTGGTGAATCCTTGTTGCTAGATTGCTTGGGCTTGCTCTGCCTTCAAGACCTCTCCTGGGTGAGAGCAGATTCCTAGCCTCAGGGTGGCATCTTCTGGTGGTCAGCCTCTGGTTAGACTGGCCTCTCCTTCTAGGACAGGAGGACAGGCTTCTCCCTGGGCTCATCTTTCTCACTGCCTCTCTGCACACTCCCCATCTTGTTGCTAGAAACACATCTATTCCAATTTGTCTTTATTTCTAGATCAAGTTTATCTTTAAAAAAAAAAAGGCATGCTTATCTGGGAACCAAGAATAAGTGTCTTCTAGCTTTATGATGAAATGCAGTTTTCTCAAGAAGGAAGGAAAAATCTTCACTTTCAAGGACTAGTATTGAAAAAAGAATTCCTGCTCAAGGTAGCATCTCAAACATAACTCAGTCTGGGAGCCCTTGGGAACTATACCTTGGGCTGGCGAACCTAAATTTGAGGATGAACGCTTGCTAGTTCTGGGACCCTGGACAAGATTGTTGGCCCCCATGTTGCTTAGGTTCCCATTTGCCAGTGAGGATAATAATAGTGCCTGCCTAGGGGAGGTATTATGAGGATCCAGCGCATTCCATATGTATGGGGTTAGAATAGCACCTGGCATACAGTAAGCCCTCGGTACCCTGTTCCTTATAGGGAGACCGTGGATAAGTCACTCTGCATGTCTGGGTGTTGGTTACTCCCTCTGTTGTAGAAGGCAAAAAGATCTGAATTAAAGGGAGAGAGACCATCTCACAGTCCCTTCTAATCAAGCATACTGTAAATCCACCGGGAATCCTGTTTGCTCAGCAACAGATCAATTTAGGCAAGTTTAGTTTGGCTGCATTGTCTGCCTTCTCGAAAGTGTCTGCTTTAAGCACATTCGTGATAGCGGACGGTGGTGGTCTTAGGCTCCGTTACTTCTAGTATGGGGCAGAAGTGACAGATGTTTCTAAGCGAAGGGGTCTCACCCTCATGAGCTCTTTCCAGCAATTGTGTAAGGGCTGGGGCCTCTCCCATTTCTTATTGCACCTCCCTGCCGTGGAGCCTCTTCTTGAAGTCCTTACCAGATTGACGGGAGAAATATCATTTCCCTAAGTCTGCTGGTGATTCCACTGGGAGAAGTGGAATTCTCTAAAACCCCATTGCTGCAATCCTTATATTTTCAGTGAGAACACTCCTTTCTTTTCTGCTAAAGGTTATGCTTCCTACCTCTGGAAAGTCACTCTTTCAAGAGCTTTAAAATTCTTTATCCTGACTTATTTCATGGTAAATATCACCAACTCATGTTTATAATCTGTATTCCTAGAACTGAGCGGTTTAGAAGGTCCCAATTTATACAAACACAAATATGCTCTTGCACTCTGTTTTGAGAGAGCACACAATCCTGTTGCCTTGCTATTTTGTGTGTGTGTGGGGGGGTTCTTTTTAAAACAGGTTTGCAAAAGGGTATTTGGAGAAAGCTAAGTAAGAGGAGACCCTAAATTATTGTTGGTTTTAGTAATCATATCTAATGTATTTTGGGTACTTATGCCCGGCACTGTTCTATGTGATTTAAAGTCATTTTATTTAATTGTCATAAATACCTTCCCATCCAATGAAAGTAGTTTCTACTATAGTTCTATTTTAAAGACAAAGAAATGGAGGCTCTAGTGAGGTTAAAGGATGCTAGAGCCAGGACTCAGAACTTGGTTCTGTCTTTGCTCATTTACCCCACCAATTTTGATTGAGTGCCTGTTCTTTCGGGGTGCATTGCAGAGTGTAGGCTGTTAAATATTGCTCAGTGTGTGAAAAGAACTCTGAAAGTAGAATTGGAAAACCCTGGGCATGGGTCCCAGCTCTACCACTTTGTACCTGTGACCTTGGACAAGTAATTTCCATTCTTTGAAGAATTCCTGGTCTTTATTAGGTAATGTGCACAAAAAGCTTTTTAAGCAGTAAAGTGCTATCACGTATAAGCTATGAATGCCCTGCAAGAGAATTCTAGCCCTTTTGCTTACAGCTTATAATTTAAAGCAGTAATTTTGGAGAGAGAACTAGCAACTGATAGAAAACTCAATGTGTAAGAATGAGTGGAGAGAGAGGGAAGTTCCATGTCTGGAGAGCTGGAGGAGGGAAAACAGCCTTGTGGGCACAGAGTAACTGAAAACTTGAATAATAGGAAGGATGGTTAAGAATAAATACAGCATGAAAAAGAGAGTGATTTGTTCAGAATGTTTAGAATTTGTCTAGCCAGGTCAAATGTCTGAAACCCATTCTAGGCTCAAAATCTTTGTCTCTGGCCATAAGAATTGCTTCTTTTTCTTAAAAACTACACATACACAAAGTGATTGCCATCTTTGGGATGAACAAGTCTTCTTGCTCTGCTTCTCTGAAGAGTGTGTTGGCTGTGCTCTGCTGCCTTCTTATAGCCTTCCTTCCCCATTTCCAAGCCCAGGGCTGTAAGCTCCTTCCTTGAGCCTTGGGCTCCTGTGGGTGAAGGTGGTACAGGGCAATGTCCACAATATCCTCCCAGATCTGTCCCAAGGGAGTGGTCATCCTGCCTGGCCCCTCCTGAGCCTCATGTCTTGGCCCCTCCCCAGATGAAACGGTTTTCCTCTGGGCAGTAGGGCACGTTGGTTCATCAGGAACTCTGGGATGCATTGTCTGGAGAAGCGTTATCCTTCACATTTAACTTAGAATCCAGTCAGTTAAAGGGAAGATAAGAAGTGTTTGCTCTGCTTATTTTCATTTTAATGGTTTTATAGCCATAAATAAGCAATGTCACTCACTCCCCAACTCAGCCTGTAGATCCCAGTGGCCGTCAAAGAGGGGCTGCTTGCCCCTGCCCAGGAGCTACCCCTTAGACCTACCCTGTGCTCTTGCTTTTCCCAACTTTAAAAAGACAGATCTCCATTTTAGACTATAGAAGACTCAATTGGGAAAAAGTGGTGAGTTCTAATTTTTCTCCCTTCTTGACTGTTTTTATTAAGCTATAGAACTAATTATGCTTCTAGTACCCATTCCACTTCTCAGGGGGGTTTTAAAAACTTTCCCAGGTCTTTTGAAGTGAGTGTTGTGCTTATAAACAAATAAAAAAATAGCACCTAAGTGGCTCTGAAACAAAACAAAACAAAACAGAAAAGTATGAAGAGGAAAGTGACTCCCTGACAACTCTATCAGCATATTGACTCTTTGGTTCCTGTGTTAGCACATTTGCCGAATTCTAGAAGGGTCACATATGTGCTGACAAAGCAGTGGCATTTTGCAGTGAAGTGTATCCTAGTTTGTTAGTGAGAATAATCAGCATGTGATTCAGACTAATATTTTGCTGTCTCTTACTATTTGATTAAATGACACTAAAATCTGAATAATGACTTGTGTCCCCTCTCTCTCTCTTTCTTTCTTTGCTGTTTTCAGTAGAGCATGCACCATTTTGAACGTGAATTTTCGGTAAAGTAAGCTATACTGATTTCTCTAACTTTAAAGATGCTCTGTTTCTGGCTGTGAAATGGGACCCAGTGCATCTAGATCACTGAAGTGATGAACAAATGGGAAAGCAGATTTGGGAGGATTTCCTTATTTGAACATTTAAATGAAATACAGCATCTTTAAAAACACTCAAGTGACTTCATTTACATTCATTTCATTTTCACCGTGACCTTCAAAATCCTCATTTTCACTCTGATTATAGTTTTAAAATACAACTCTAAAACCTGCATATCAACTGCATGGTATTTTGTTATGTTTTAATTTGGGAAAGTAGGATCTCAGAGTCTTGATGGAGCAAAAATATTGGTTTGCTATTACTCTGATGAAGGGAAAGAGTGTTAGCCGATTGACATCTCAGTTCTTAGTTACAGGAAGACAACTCACTGACATTTTATAACTGACAGCAGGGAAAAACAGCTCTCTTTTAAGCATCCCTAATAACTCTTGAGTTTGGACATGAGGGCAGCCTCCTCATCCATCTGAGGCAAAATACCAAGGCAATTGCCAAGAGCTGGGAGGGCTGTCTGCTTCCAGGGGTCACTGTACTCTGTTCCCTCTGAGGGTGGCTAGCAGCTCTGGTCTTAGTCTCATGGCCACGTGGTCTCCCCACTTCTATTCGTGGACCACAAAGGAACTCGTGATCTACAGAGACCCATAGATTGCCCACTGCTAAAACTGGCCCCAGAGAGAGGGGACCTCCCCCCAGACATCCTTTCTCCGAGGCTGGTGAAGATGTTTCTGGCCAAGTATTCCACCCTAGATCTAACCTATGTTCTTCTGGAACAGTCTGTGGTCTGTTCCAGGGCCTCTACTGGATTACCAGGTTCTCACTAGTTTGGTGGATGGGATTCTGGGGAGGATAAAAGTAGTTGGCTTTTGGGATTTTTGTCTATAAGAGTAGTTACGATGGAAGAGAACTATTTGGGAGCAGCCCTCATCTTGGGTTTGCAGGCCAATATTTTTCAAAGATGGGTGAATTCAGTTGACAACCAAGCTTTTTTTTCCCCTTCAAATTTTTACTTAAATTCTAGTTAGTTAGCAACTGATGTAACATGGAATCTGCCTGGTCTTGTCTGTGGCCTGCGGATAAGGACTATTGGGTACTTGGTGGGGGACAAGTCAGTGGCACTCAGGCATTAGGCGGCTTTTCCCAGGTCCACCTCAGACCAAATAGCCAGCTCTGAATTTGACCCATATCAATATTGCAACTGGTAGAATGTGTTGTAGCTTAAGCCCCAATGAACCTTTAAAGGAATCTTGTGGACTATAGAGGAAGTAAAAAGAAAATGCCAAAAAAACCCTGGTGGGGCCTGTCATCAGAGGCTGAATCCTTGGGTCTGTGTTCTTACTTCGTCCATTACTGACCTTCTAACTCGGGGACCTCCTTCCCTCTTCTAGAGTGTTCTGAGCTGGCAAGATGAGATCTGGCCTTACCCTGATTATACATCAAGATCTGCCTTAGTTGTCGCAGGCCCAGTGAGGAAGAGTGGGCCTTGTGGGACAGTTAGGCCCTCTGGGTCTGGTCTGGCCCTCTGAGCAGATGTCAGGGTGACCTTGCTCCTTACCCTTGAATGAGCAGCCTCTCCTTTTGTACAACCTCGACATCTCATTTGCTTTATAAGCACAAGTTACTCTGTGATGCTTGGGACCGTGTGTTTATTTACACTACCTACATATTCAAAGAGATTCATTTAAAGTCCTAACAATCTCAGCCTTTACTTGGAAACTTAAGATCCATGTACTGAACACCACCCCCAACTCCAAACTCTGAGATAGTCAATTTGCACTTTTAATTTTGAGTGGCTGATAATGAAGCCAAAGTCGAGGGTTGGCTCCTTGCGAAGACCAAGCAGATTTGTTCTGTGCCAAGAGGCAGCCGAAATCCAGGTCCAGTTGCTGAGACCCACCCCTAGCCTTCCAGAATCCTGGGCTGGAAGGGTGACAGGTCCCTGGACAGGTCACTCTTTGCCTTTAGTAGTGTGCAAGTGCTGTTGCAGCCCAGAGCTTGTCTTCTATCTTGTTACCTGCAGTGACTCTTCTCCAGGGTCAAAGCACAATTGTGAGCTGACAGGCAGAAATTCTGGAGCCCATTCTGGAACACAGTGGGCCCTGTGTGGTGGGGTATCGGAGCCTGCTGGCTCCTCGAGGGCACTCTTGGTGCTGCTATTAGGTCCCAAGAGCCTTCAGAGACACACCCCCACCCCCACCGGGATTTCACAGGCCACTCTCCAAAAACTCCCTCAGAGGAATGCTTCTAGCACACTTATCCTCCCTGTTCTTCTCACCTCAGCAGTTATTATGGGTTTAAAGTCTTTTTTATCTTTGTAACCTTGTAACATGAAGCTGGGAACATTTTTCCAGGAGACACCCTGGCAGAGAACATAACAGAACATCATTCATTTGTTGTTACTGTATAGAACCAGTGAGAATTACATTTTGTTCATTTGTATTTAACGTTTATTCATATTATATTTTCATTTTTTGAGAATTCTGAGATTGCAGAGCATGAATGTGTGTATCTGTGTGATTCTTTAATTTCAGCTGCCTTCGGTTTTAGTAAAAGATGTAACGAAGGTAAGTGGTTTTCTATGAAATACAAGACTGAACCGTTATGTCGCACACTTGGTAAAAAGGATCTCTTAGCGAAGTATTTTATGGGTGATCCTGAACCACTCGTCCCTATAAACTCAAGTGGTAATGGTATGCCTACTTGTTACCACCACAGCTCAGTAGCAGGTTGGAGGGGAAGAACACCTAACAGAGTGTCTCTCTAGGGTAGCCCTGGGATGGACCAAGGGCAAGGCTTGAAACAGGGGAGTCACCGAGTGCTGCAAGGCTCACAGGAAATGGGGCAGCTAACTCTGTGGCACTAGCAAGTTCTTTAAAGCAGGTCTTTTGCTGTACTCAGTTTTTATCTTGTCCTAGGAGAATAATTCGTCTATTCAGAACTATAAATGTCAACTGCCAAGTGTTCATGTGCCTGGAAGCTAAGTTTTAGATACGTGTCCAGATTCCTTCTCCTCACCCACCAGGGTAGAGTCTCTCCTGATGCTTCAGCAAAGATGTAGGGTTATTACCGTTCGATTCTGTTCCTGGTTTAGGCCGCAGTGGAAAGAAGGTGCTGATGAAGACTCATCCCTGAGAATACCATTGCCAGGGAAAAGAGCCTTCTGCCCCTTGCTTTGCACTGTTAATAGTTATTAGCCTATTATATTTCTTTAATGCAGCCTAATAGAAAATGATGATTGGAGACACAGGCCCTTGGGGAACCCTTAACCTAGCAGGCACTGGTTCCTTGCCGAGAATTCTGAGTGGTTTGTCATTTTCTATTAAATCACGTCCTTCAAATGTTGTGTATGTTGGAGCAGCTAAAGAAATGTTCATCCTTTATCAGTAATTGATATTCAGGTAGCCCAACTCTGCATACAAATGTCTATTTTTACTTGCTAGCTCAGTAGGTGCCCTGGACCTGCCTAAAACAGCTGATGGAACTTTGGGATCATCGCTAAAATTTGGAAATGGAGTTAGAGCCTCATCTACACGGAGAACGGAGAGAATGTCACTATGTATAGTTTCATGTAATCTTTGATATTCAGTCTTAGTTGACTATTATCTGGGGAAATTAATTCCTCTTTGATGCTTCTAGCTTTCTTGTTCAGCATTTTAAAAAAACATAACAGGACCAGGTTTTCTTGGTCCCTCTGTGGGAAAATATTTGCAGTCTCATCAAAGCGTGTTCCATCCAGGACTGGGCAGTAACATGTGTGCAGGGTGTTTGGAGAGATGAATCTGACTGTCCCCTTTCTCCCAAACCTAGGGATGTCCGCATTACCTCCACCTCCTCCACCTCCGCCTCCGCCTCCACCACCAGCAGCTCCCTTGCTTCCTGCGAGCACAGAGGCGCCTACACAGCTCCCGCCCCAGGCTGTGAATGGTGTGAGCCGAGGGGCCTTACTCAGCTCCATCCAGAATTTCCAAAAGGGAACTTTGAGGAAAGCCGAAACCTGTGATCATAGTGCTCCTAAGATCGGCTAAAGCTTCGTGTTTACACTTGGAGGGAAAAGTTCTTTGTTTTTTCCTCCCACCTCCAACCCCTAACGTACTCTTTTTCCGGATGAATAATTGCTGAGCCAGTACAGTCACATACTGTTTTCAGATGCTCATATAAGAGGCTTCTCAAAAGGGAAATATTCAAGTAGAATGAAGTCAGGCTGGCATTTCTGCCTTAAGAAATACTTATTTTGCTCCTTTATTACCATTTTAAAGGAGTCTTATTCATCTTCTAATGGGCATCTTTTGGGGGCAGCAGCATATCGGAGTCAACCTTTTCACCAATTGAAGGAAACGGACAAAAAAACCAATGACCATATTCAGAGCAGTGAATGACCTTTGTGTTGCAATCCCTCCTTTTATGTCAGACAGCTCCCAGAAATGTTCCTCTCATTTCTCTATAAAGCATTTTCTGGTTATTTCTTAGGTAACTCCCATTTTTGCTACCTTATTTTGTCTTCGACATTATTAACACTGTAGTCCAAAGCATAGTTATGTCGTGGAGTGAGAGAAGCAACTGAGTTCTTCCTTTTCCATTCAGATAGTCAGGGGCAAGTCAAGCCTGGAACCTCTCTAGGTTCTAACAAGAATACCATTGTGGTTATAGAACTCAGGGCTGCGAAAGCAACCACTCTAGACTCATAGTTCCTTTTAGTTAGAGTGTATTGGACAGACAGGAAATGTTAATATCAGAAAAAGCTCTTGCTGATTAGAGGATCTTCATCCTCAGCAATAAAGTCAAGTTTGTGGTTTATGGGGGGTTATTATTACCACACAAGTAAATTTGGCATCCATAGAAATCAATTCTGATTTTTTGAAAGGTTTATCCAAATATATCATCTTTTTAATGTTACTCATTTATTAGATCCTTTATCCTATGATTTGCTTAAACCCTTAAATAAATTGCACTTTAAAGGATTATAAATAATCCATTTAAAAATTCAAGTACACACATCAGTGTTGGTTACTATGCAGAGAGAATGTCATTGTGTATAGTTTCATTTAATCTGTGATAAATGTTCAGCTGTATTTTTTATTAAAATAAACCATGTCAAGAAAGTATGTTGTCTGTAGCTTGGTGCTAGGCATTTTAAGTGGGAATTCTTATAAACAAAGAATAGATCCACACAATATTTCTGGTTTCCTTCCCAACTATCCTATGTCTCTTTTGTGTCATATTTTCCGTCTTAATTACTAAAAGCTAACAATCCTGTCTTGCCATTTAAATTAGACACCCCTCATATACTTCTGTAACTAATTTAAATCTATCTTTTCTGTCTCAACTTCTAAAGAGGGCAGCATATGGCAGCATGTCTCTTTTTCAGCAGTGGGAAAAATACCTGATACGAATTTTCATTTAATTTTGAGGGAACCCTATTACAATTGGGCATTTGAAGAGTCTGTGGACAAGTTAGTTATAAATGTGATGGCAGTTCAGGTGATTTAGCATCACTAATCTCTTTTTCTTTTTTTTAAAGATTTATTTATTCATTCAGAGAGAGAGAGAGAGAGAGAGACAGGCAGAGACACAGGCAGAGGGAAAAGCGGGCTCCATGCACGAAGCCTGATGTGGGACTCGATCCCGGGTCTCCAGGATCACGCCCCGGGCTGCAGGTGGCGCTAAACCGCTGTGCCACCGGGGCTGCCCAGCATCGCTCATTTCTTAATAGAAATTCTTAGCAGAATTTTAAGACCTCCACCCACCCCAGATTTATTACCTCAAGAATATAAAAATACAATTAGTCATAGTTAGGAATTCTTTTATTCCTTATCAAAACAATCAAACAGCAAATGTAGATAATAGCTTTTATCTTTACATATAAGTTGTCATTTTTGGATATGTCTTTCTGCAGAACTCTGCCATGTTCAGACCTTGTCCTTGGGAGAGGGTAAAATTTTAAGTTAGCCTTATTCAAAGAACATAACTGTAACAGACCCCCCCCCCCCCATGGAGTCTAGGGCAGGAGAGGAGAATTTTTCCACATACAAGCACATTTAAACTTCTTCCAAGTACAAAAACATCTGTGTTGTTGCTTTAGAGATAGCTTTATGAATCATAAGGTCTTACAGTACAATTCAGGTGAACTGTCAGCAAGTATTTTAAGTAAATCCCAATGACTTGAAATTCAAGTCCAAACTAGATATTTAATGTTTTCTTTATTGCAAATATGATGTCTTTAACCTGAGGTACAGAGTTGTCTTCTAGAATCTTTGCATAAGGCATAGGGACGTCAGCACCAGTGACACGAACTGCAGGAGCATCCAGGAAATTGAATGCAGGGCCTAGGAGAGAAGGCGGCTCAACTGAGAGAAGCAAAAAAAAGTCACTGAACACCACCACCTTCCCACAGGAGGTATGGCTCTCCAAGGAGAGAAAACCTGAAGGAATATACTAATTATGGGGATTGTTTCTGGCTTTTTTAAAAAAAAATTTACCCAAAGGAAAAATGCCAAGGTGAAATTGAAAAGTTAAGACTTTTGGCCACCCCTAGCTTTTGCTCTCTATAGTGTCCCGGTATACACTGTTTATTACAGCTTGAGTATTCTAGAACCAGGTTCTCTGAAATACCTTCCATAATCCTGGCACAAATTTCAGCTCCTACTCCAAACTGTGGCCAGCCTCCTTCCACAGTTATGAGATGATTGGTCTTCATGACACTGGCTTCTATTGTTTCAATGTCCATTGGTCTGATGGTTCGCATATTTATCACCTAAACAGATAATACAGATATGCTTTATAGAGCCACTGCACCACAAGTATAGTCTCACCTCCATAATACCATGCCCTGTTTTGTTTCCTATTAATCTCAAGAGTCTAGGAAAATCAAATCTGCTTATTCAAGAACAAAATGTAAAATGGGAAATGGTAATTAAAACAAAAATCTTTCACAAGTGGTTAAGAATTCACTTAACCTCCTGGGCTTTAACTTCCTTCTCATCAAAACAACTAACAACTGACTGGTCACTGTGTGCCAGGTGGTACACTGAGTGTAACAACCACCCTAATGGGACAGTAAAGGTATTCTCAGTTTCCAGCTGATGCGGCTGAGATTCAGAGGACAGATCTTGCCCAAGTTTAACTAGCAAGTGGTAGGTCCTGGACATGAAAAGGTTAGACACTGATTTCTAAGATTCCCTGTGTCCCAACCTCTAGCTCCAAGGCTGGATCCCGGCTTGAGAAAGTAACTACTATTCTAAAAATAGGTATTTGAAAAGCAAGAAGGTTCCCAGCTTTAAGCAAAAGTGAGTGACAAAGCAAGATTTTACACTTAGTTAACCTGTTACAGAATTCAAACTCCTATTTCTGGGTCTTAAATTTAAAAGGAAACTTTCTGATTCTTTAAGAAGTGAATGTCTACATACCTCACATTCAATACCCTCTTTGGATAGCACTGTTGCAGCTTCTAAGCAGTGGCCCACAGGTCTTGAATGAGCAACTACGGTTATGTGTGTCCCTGAAACAGAGTGGTCACAGGTCAGAGACCAGGTTGAAACTAAAGATGTTGTACTGCTCCACAGCCATTGTGGCTCTTGTTCATTTATAAAATTCAACTCTGTTCCAGTGAGGTGAGGAATGTGATAGCCTTCCTAAAAACGAAATACGAATCTACTGGACTGAGAATCAGGAAAGCACAAAAGTTTATGAGCAAAGTGTAACACATTTCTTCATTTCTTTTTTTCTCAAGATTTTATTTGAGAGAGGAGGAGAGAGCACATGTGTGCGAGAGCAGGAGCATGTGAGGAGCACAGGGAGAGGAGAGAGAGAGAGGGAGATCATTTTCAGCACCCTCCATGCTGAGTGCAGAGCCTGACATGGGGCTTGATCCCAGGACCTTGAGATCATAACCTGAGCCAAACCAACAGCTGGACACTTAAGCAACTGAGCCACCCAGGTGGCTCAACATGATGGATTTCTTTTCTTTTTTTTTTTCTTAAGATTTATTTATTTATTTATGATAGGCATAGAGTAGAGAGAGAGAGAGAGAGAGAGAGAGAGAGAGGCAGAGACACAGGAGGAGGGAGAAGCAGGCTCCCTGCCGGGAGCCCGACGCGGGACTCGATCCCGGGACTCCAGGACCGCGCCCTGGGCCAAAGGCAGGCGCTAAACCACTGAGCCACCCAGGGATCCCCAACATGATGGATTTCTTAACTTGATAATTTCCTAACCAAAGTAAAGGACAGGAACTTCAAGAATGAATCGTTCGACCAGGGTGCCTGGGTGGCTTACTTAAGTGTCTGACTTGATTTCAGCTCGGGTCATGAAGATTGTTAAGAATGAGCCCGGGTTGGGCTCCCTGCTGGGCGTGGAGGTTGCTTAAGATTCTCTCTCCCTCTGGCCTTCCCACACTTCTTAAAAAAAAAAAAAAAAAAAAAGAATTTGACAAACATAAATATAGGACCTAGATTACAAATACTTTAGCATGTACTAAGTGCTCTTACCTTGCCTTTCTTTTATTTATTTATTTATTTATTATTTATTTATTTATTTATTTATTTTTATTTATTTATTTATGATAGAGAGAGAGAGAGGCAGAGACACAGACAGAGGGAGAAGCAGGCTTCATGCACCGGGAGCCCGACGTGGGACTCGATCCCGGGTCTCCAGGATCGCGCCCTGGGCCAAAGGCAGGCGCCAAACCGCTGCGCCACCCAGGGATCCCTTACCTTGCCTTTCTATTTTGGCTTTTCCAATGGGAATCAGAAAATCTTTTGACTGAGCTTCGGAGGGAAATTCAAAAGGAACTCCATACATCAGTTCGTTCTCTAGCACCACCACTACAAAATACAAATATTTAACAGAACTAACTACATGACCAAATGTATATACATAACTATCATTCATTTTGTGCAAAGTTTCACTGTGCAGATTAGGAAGCCTCCTATCTATTGTGTCCAGTAGCCGTGAGA